GAAGAACCCATCCTTCCTTTGCCCTCTCCCTAGTTGGCCAGGAGCTTGCCCCAATCCCGGGGTGAAGAAGCTGGAGACACACCTGGGGCCATTTGCCCTCCTCATGGCCGAACTCTCTTGTCCCACCCACACAAGGTGGCACTGTTGATTTTCACTGTATGTATTCCCCCTTCCACCTTTGCCCACACTAACACTGGTTGGACTTCAAAGTGGTGATTTTCAACCTTCTTCAGTTTCTGAATCCCTACACTTTTCCTATTTGAAGAGTGGGCCTACTCAGACATTTAACATGGGGAGACTGCTTTGTAGGACTTGTTTTTCTGCCTCATTCTTGGCAGTCACCAAAGGAGTACCCTACAGACTCGCAGGGCTGTAGATTCATTTATGTCTCTGGTGAAGTGAGTACCTAGTAAAAGCATGGCCTTTAGCCAAGCACAAAGAGAGATTCAGATCTTTAAATATTACAGAAAAAACCCCATGGTAGAACAAATGTTAAATACCCTGAATTAAATTACTTAAGATAATTCCCACTTGTTACTGTGATCAATACGTAAATTAATATATAATCCTCACATACTTCCGCTGTGCCCCTCAATTACTGCTTTTACATCCCCTACTTACTATTGCTTTTTGATTATACATATTCTCAAAAATTTGCTTAAATTTGCTTAGGAGGGGAGTTTCAACTTGATCTGTTTTTTCTGTGCACTATATTACTCACTGACTCTGCCCACTTCAGCCCATTTAAAATTTCTAGCAACTGAAGGGAGAGTTTGCTTGGGAAGGAACACTCAAAGAGCTCTTTAAAGCTAAACTGAAAAGCAAGTTACAGTGGAGTTAGTTATCCCTCAAAGGAGTTATATTTTCTTAACACCTACACCACTCAAGTGATCCTTAAACATCAAAAGTATTAACCGGCTAACAGCTCTAAGAGTTCCTTATTGCTTCTCCCTCATTGGCACCCACTTGCCCAACCTTAAATTAGGCCAGTTGAATTTGCAAGATCAAAGTAACAAATTACCAGATGATTATAAAATCTCTATGTCTGATCAAGGGCTCTCCTTTGAGGAAATACAACTCCCTAAACAAGGATCAAATTAACAGCAAATATGATTGAAGTCAGATGGAAGTGATAGTTATTGTTCTGGTGAATACAAAAAAGATGGAGCCTGATAAAGAAATGGAAAATGAAGAGTAGTGAACACTCCCTTTGTCTATGTACCCAGTATGGGTCACGTACACAGAACAGAAAAACAGTGCTGACAACTGGTAGCTGAAGAGGGAGATTCATTCTCTGGTGCTGGCTGCCAGTTTCTTTTCCAGTTTTATTTCCATGAAAAGTGGATCTCCAATACATAAAATCAAAAGAAAAGTCTTTAAAATAGAACATGAGTATCAGATTCCTAGAAGTAATTACACAATTTCAGCAGCCTCTGCCATGTCATAGTACAAGAGGGGTAATTATTTCAGTGTTGAAAAAAACCTCAACATTTAATCCTACAAGAATAACAAAACAAAAGGATAATATTAAACCTATAAGGAGTAAGATCCCACAAGTAAACTTTTCCCAGGAAAAATGGTAGTGAAAGGCCCAGTGTCAATGCCCAAATTCCAACAGAAGAGACAAGATGCATCTGCTCAAAATTATTTGTTTCTACTGTCAATATTGTCCCTCGTTCCCAGAGAGAGCAGACATATTCATCCTGGCTACTCCCAAGACCTACTTCCAGTAAAGTTCTCCAAGTATAGCAATGCTCAACAATTATTGGAAAAGCCTGGATTTATGTTACTCTCCCTTAACAGTTGTGCCAGGTTGAAGGGGGTACCATGAAATTCTCAGACCTTGTGTTTGATACTCCCAAAATCCCAAACCATAGCTGTTTCCATCTAGTGAGACCTTCATGGGGCCCTCAAGTAGATCAGGGACAGGGCTAAAAAAGAAAACTAGAGCTCCTTAGGAGCAGTAGAGGCTCTTTATATACATAATCTGAAAGCACATTCTTATACTATTTAAAACTATCTATTTATAAAGTCTTCATGGATCTTCAAATATGAAAGGCACTTCAAAAATTAGCTTGACTTACAATTTCAGCAACAGAGATTATTTACCACATGACGGGTGCTGCAACATTAGAAGATCAAACTAATAACCATTAGCAAGCACATAGTTACCCATCGGTTTAACCATTAGTTCTACTAGCAGGAGAAATCTGTGTTTTGACTCTATCCAATGCTTAGAAGTCCACTGCTGATACGACAGAGGAATCAGGCAGTAAAATGGCAGGCAACGCAAACCCCTTTTTTCCCAGATCATATCAGGAAGAAGGTTTAACCTATCCTAGAGTTATTGCATGTAGTGAGAAACATGAGGAGTTTTAAAATTATTTTCTGCACAACAATTCTGCTAGCAGGTCTGCAGTAGTCTCAAAAGTCTCATGATGTGTATCAGAGTGATACAGTCCTGTTCCACTGACCGACGTGCATCCCTGCAGGATGGTGTACAAAAATGGAATCACTATCCTTTAAAAGATTTGCCATTTATTAATGCAATAAATACAGATCCAGCTTTGGGAAAATGAATCTTCTTTCCTAATCCACCTTAAACACCTTCTGTTGTGGTAAATGGAAGCCTCTCTAATATACAACCACCATCAACTAAACGCAGCTAATGAAAGGATATAAAGCGAGGCTTAGGCTTTAATCGTTATTACCGTTGGAGCTATTGGGAGGACCCGAGTCCACTCTGCGGGCGCAGCCCTAAGAGGCTTTCAGGTCCCCACGCCCCGCTCAGATCAGTGTGTCAGCCCCTGCCCGCAGTTCCAGGGCAGCAGCGCGGCCCCGCCGCACCCAGCGCGGCTCCACAGGTCCCGCTCCGCGCCGGCGGCGGGGCTGCGCTGCTCGCCCGGTACCGGCGCTCCCGGCCGGGAGGTACCGCAGCCCGGTCCCCATCGCTGCGGGGACACTCAGTCCCGGCCTGGGCGGCGGGAGCGGAGCGGAGGAGGGAGCGCTGCTCCCGCCCGCTCCGCAGCGGCCCCGGCCCGGCCCTTACCGATGCACCGCACGTAGTGTTTTGCAGGAAGTTTCCACGCTCCTCGGTCTAATCGTGCAAAGGGGGGCCGGAGAAGGCGCGGCTGAATTGCGAGAAGGGGGCGGGGGGGGAGTGGAGGAGGAGGCGGTAGCAGCAGCAGCCGTGTTTAATTTTTAATTAGGGCACTTTGAGCAACCCTCGGCGGGGTCGCATCGCCGGGCGGCGAGGGAGCAAGGCGAGCTGCCCCCCCCCCGCCGCCCGGGACCACCCCGTGCCGGAGCGTCGAGGACTCCGACTGCGGCTTTCGCGCCGCAGGCGGCCCCGGAGCGCGGGAGCTCCGCCGCGCCACATGGCAGCGCGGGCGGGGGACACGGTGTACCCGCGGGCGGGCGGCGGTCTCTGACCTTGCGGCGCCGCCCGGCCCGCCCGCACGCCCAGCGGGGCGGGGGACCGAGGGACCGGGGCGGCGGGGGGAGCAGGAGCAGGGACAGAGCCTAAATCTGCCCTCCCTGGATAGCGGGGCCGGGAAAGCGAAGGCTGTGCGCGCAATCCTACAGCAACAATTGCTTTGCAGGTGCTCGGTCTCTCGCAGCGTCCGTCCCCAGGGAAGCAGGCAACACTTTTCCACGTTCACAAGTTAAGGATGATGCTAATGAGCGTTTTATTTTCCTGCATCACTGTATTATCGAAATCTAGACTACATACATGAATTCACAGCACAAGAGCTCCTGTCCAATGGAGACTCCAGGCTGATGTATTTGCTAAGGATAAAATCTCATTTCTGCAATTCATTGCTTGTTGGAAGGATGGAGGTGTCACTGCCCGGCTGCTGCTTCTTTGCAGGGGAATGCTGTTTAAGTGGAAAAGTGTTGCTTGCACCCAGAGTTACCATGCTGCAAAAACACTGCCTGCTTGTGTGGGGCTTTGCTCTCCTTGCAGAACAGTGAGCCATGCCTTCATTTGCTGGGCATCCATGCCCTGGCCTTCCTACCTTCACCTCCCTGTATGTTTTCTTAGAACCCTGAAGAGACAGTCTTCTCTGCAATTTAGAGAATACAGGCATGCAGTGTGCACATGAGCATGACAGGTTGGCTGTGTGGTCACAGCACGGCTTTTGCAGCATTTCTGGCCATGTGTTATTAACTCAGGTAGCTCAGGCCCGTTGGAGAATTCCATATTCATTCAAATTTCCATTTCATTAGGACTTCTCCACTGTTAGTCTTTTCATCCTACCACCTCCTGTGCCCATTTTTTCTGATAGCATTTCTGGGATACAGTTTAGTTTCCCTAAAGAGATAGTTAAGTGCAAATGAGGTGCTTCCAAAACTTTAAATGTCCCTAACCACACCACCACGTTTTCAAGTTAGGTTTGTCCTTACTCAAACACAAGCTTGGGACTGAAGCTATTAGAAGTACTTTGAGAATGACCACATCCATGAAACAGCAGCTGGGCTGCAGACATCCAAGAGGTGAACAGATGGCCACTGATTTGGTCCATTTTGTTGCACACTACCGTTTATGAAGTGGGTTTTCAGGCAACTGAGGTTTAATCATGCCAAGAGGATGAATGCTCCCAGCTTGAGACCATGTAAAGATACTCCTTTCCAGTACCAAGCCATTAGAAAACAAATCCTATAGGGGGTTCTGTGAGAGAAGGACTGAAACCCAAAACACAAGGAAGATTATTCTGGCTACTTTCTTAATCTTCTCAGATTCTCTGTAAACATACGAGTAAAGGCTAGGTCTGAAAAAAGTGGCACCCTGTCACCGCAAACCACCAAAGAACTGGAGCTGGGGTCTTCAATCAACACCAAACATTGGCAGAGTTGGGCTGATGATGCTCCTAGGATAAGAATTTCAACATCTTTTTTCCAGCTACCTCACAATACTTAGTACCCATGGTGTTCCCCTTCACCATCCCCCCATAGGTGCAGCCAGCACCCCCAGCTTATACCTCCCTTCTTCTTAGCCAAGTGGTCTATATGCTAAGCTGTTTTCCTCATTCCTATTTTCTTTAGGACTCTTATGGTTCATTCTGACCTCAGAAGGGCTTCCAATGGCCTTTTATTTCACAGCAGGATGTTAAGGAGCCTTTCTTTTTGCCAGTGTTTTTATACGGGTAACTCCAAGGAGTAGAGTCTTCACCTGTGAAAAGAAAAGTCAAGCTCAGTCTGGGGCCAGCCCCCACAAAACAGCTCTGCAGATTCTAACTGATACAATGCCTGTCCCCATCATGCTTTTCTAGAGGCTATCTTTGAAGATTTTTGGATCCAGGCCATGTTAGTTAGCATTCAGTCTTCTGACTCAGGACTTGACACATACTCTGCAGCAAATGACAGGGTATCTGACTGACTGGGAGAGGACATCAAACCTGTGTGCAGCACTACAATGTGGAAACAATAAAACAGGCATGCAAGGTCAGATGTGCTGCCACAGTTTTGGGGATACATAATTAGAGCAAAATTTCCTGTGAACGTGGAGGCTTCAGTTACAATTTCTGAAATTCAGGACAAGGAAGAGAAGAACACAAAGCTGCACATTAGAGTTTCCCAGAACCAATCCCCCCCCACCCCCAGCAAAATGCATGGTGTTTTCTCAGGCAGCTGTTTCAGCCAAACTTTTGTTGGTTAAGACTAAGATATATTTTTCCATGTTTCAGCATCAGTCCAGCTTTGCACAGAGATCTGTTGCATAGTGTCTCCTGACAAGCACATAATGTACAAACAAATCCCATTAATTCCAGTGTGTAACCTGCAAAATTAGTAAGACTGGAAGTCATATCCTTGGAAAATGAATATGACTTCTTCTCTATGGTGAAGAAATGTCATGTCAAACACAAACATATTTGCCTGGACTCAGCTCAGATGCAGGGTTCTCCACAGCCAGCCTATCGCTAAGATTTTTCTCTATGTCTTTCAAGGTTGCAACTGGGGAGTTTGGGTCTGGCTTTTCCAGGTAGTGGCTAAGTATCATTTTCCAGTATAAGCCTTAAATTTAATTTTTATAACCCAGTGTCCTATGATTTCTGGAAAGTAATTTTTTTCCTTGATTGGCTCTTGTTCAAATCAACTGATTTGTGACATAAATTTGTGATATTGAACTTTCTGTGATTTTTTTTCCCTGCAGAAGGTCAAACTTAATAGAAAAATTGGAAGTATGCCCAATGAAAATCCATATAGCAGGTGGGCTTTACCTATGATACATTTTCAGAAAATAAATATTGCTTGTTGTTGACATTATTTCTAATTCCAATAGGCTATATCTGGATCTTTTCTCCAGCTTAACAGGAATTAAAACATTGTGACCCAAAGAGCAGAATATAATTCAAAACAAGGAAGGATCTCATACACAACTATATAGAATAAACAGAACATTGGCTGTTATGCTCTGGCACACATGTAAAGACAGTAATAGGAAAACATTATTTAACATCTACTACACTGAGGTTTATTGCAAAAAGAAAAAGACTTGTGTCTTGCCCTTTTAACCTTTGTTTTAAAATGTTTATTCTTTATAGGATAATTAGTCAAAACCCCCACAAATTCTGAAGTGAGAAAGGAGACACCAAAGAAGATAAAAGTTCTGTCCATTTCTGTCTGCTCAGGAATGCCAAATCTTATTTTTGCTTTTTTTTATTGTAGAGTATGGCTACTTTCAGCCATGACTGCAGTACACAGATACCAGAGCTCCCTTTAACCTGGCTTAGCAGTGCAGGTACCTGAAGCAGTGTAGCCATGGCAGCACAGAGCTCTGAGTGGCCTAATTACTCTGCCAGGAAATAAATGGATACTGGTAATTCCCTGGGGAAAAAGATGGTTGAACCGTTAACAAAAAGAGTTTTTCCCTGAGGCATGTTCGTTAAATAGGTGTTAGCAAGAGGCAGGAAACCTCAAACTCTAACCTCAGAATAAAAGTGCCTTTGTCCTTTGGTGCTTTTGATGTCCCAGTCCTTCCAAACCTCCTGCTGTCTATAGGTACAAAAGAAATTTGTGATTCTAATATCTGATAGAAAACCTAAGATAAAGCAAAACGATCCCCACCCCCAATTAAAATCTATACATAAGATCTCCTTAAACAGGCAAAAATAACAGGTTTCACCTGCCTGGAAACACACAGAGCTCTCCTGGTGGCAGTGGCAGGGTGGAGTTGCCTGAGCCTCCTGCCCTCCATAGGACACACTTTAGGGTCAGCGCCCTGAGCAACATCAGGAGGGATTTCAGACCTGCTGTTTCCTATGCCTGTAAAAATGGCAGGATATGTATGTATTTAAGGTGAAGACCAAGAAGAAGAAAAAAATGGGAGCAAGATTTAGGGGAAGGGAATTTAATTCTGTTATCTCTTCTCCCACCAATCTTTCCTCATACACAAGAGCGGACATGTACAGAGAAAGGTGAAGGGGTAATTTTATCAATATGCTCACTTTCTTACAAGCTCAAATACACAGCATTTTTTTTCTGAAACTGGGGACCAAGACTTCACTAAAATTGCACACACAGTGGTTTATTTTACAAGTTGGATCTATTTATTTAGACTCGTGATCTAAATCAGATGGCAAAATCCATATTATTTGGCTGAAATTGCCTTTGAGGTCAATGCAAGTTTAACTAGTTTAAGGATAGAGATTTAAAGCCATTTCAGAAAACATACCTGGCTTCTCCAGGTGGAGACCTCGGTGAGTATTGCCAAATCAGAATCTGTAGACTTGTGCCCAGCCTGACAAAATACTATTTGCAACAGCCATGTGCTGAAGTTCCTGTTTTGAGGAGACAGAAAGCCAGAAAATTGTGAGTTTGCTGTCTCATAACAGAGGCCAGTAAGTGGATAGTGTGTAGAGGCTAAAAGTTGCAATTTTTTCATATTAATTTAAATGTGAAAAAACAACAGGACACTGCTAAAATCCGAGCTGGTTTTCACTTCCAAATGTTCATATACTGCAGCTTAGATACATGCATCCCATTTAGACCTAACCACACTGATTGGACTTTTCTATGCAGGCAAAGAAGCAATAGAGGTGAAAACCCCACAGAGTCACCAGGATGTGATGCCCAATGATGAGCAGTAATTACTGCAGCAACACTTCAGCCAGCATGAGTGTCAACGAAATGTCTGCCTTCCCTCTGACTCTAGAGCAAAAAACTGGCTTTGCCTTTGTGGGGATTTTGTGTGTTTTCTTGGGACTTCTAATTATCCGATGCTTCAAAATCTTGCTAGACCCCTACAGTAGTATGCCTTCTTCTACATGGGAAGATGAAGTTGAGGGGTTGGATAAAGGAACATTTGAATATGCTCTTGCATGAAAACTCACAGAATATCCTGCCTTAAATTTGATGTTGATTTCATTTTGGAAACCAACTGTTGTTACATTTGTTATACATCCCCGCATTTCGGAGATATGTTGGTGGCGTCCATTTTGTTAAATAAATATTTGTTGCAAACTCAAGAGGCGCTTCACGTTGCTTTTACTTACCAAACAGTGGAATGGTAGGTAAGAAATGGTTAACAGAAAAAAAATACTACAATAATTCAATAGAAAGTGATGATGGCCAATATTTTAAGAGTCAGATGATATCTGCTTCTTCAGAGAAGGATCTCATTTCTACTGTGTCTCATGATACGCTGGAGAAAAAGATGAGTAACACAAAAGACAGGCTCATGAATGGTGCATGTTTAAATGGTAACACCCTCCCCTCCTCATCTGACACAATTTTCTGAAACTCGTAGTCTGTGCTTGTACACTGCGAATACAAAAGTGGAGGACAACAAATGTTGAGGAGGTGCCTGCAAGAGGTGTGTGTCTGTGTTGCTGAGGTGAGAGGAGCAAGGGCTAGTCCACATACTACCAATATTAAGAAACTAATGGGAAAGCCAAAGATCACATCCGTTGCTAACTCATCTCTCACCTTCCAAGAAGAGCAGGTGCTCTACTGCTGACTGGTTATGAGGAAAGTACATTGCTTCTCTGTGAAAACTTGATGTGGTCCTTTGCAAACACTGTGTAACTCACATGAGTATTTTTTGATAGATCTCCCAAACTACAGCAACAGAAACTGAAGCAGAATTAGTGGAAGGGAAACAAATATCATTAAGGAAGTTTTTGATACTACAAACATTCAGCCATACAAAATATATTACCTGCTCAGAACTCCAAATCAACATCACCACAGTCCCAGTCCCCCAGCATCTCCTACATTGTTAAAAATTTTAAGTGGAAGAGAAAAACTGAATGTTAAATAACCAATCTAACTCTAGCTGAATTGGTCAATTGCCACTTGGTTACAAATGTCGATTCAGTTTAAACTGGAACTTAAACTGTCTGGTTAACAGCTCCCAGCAATAATTACACCAGCTTGGCAAGGCCCAAGCAGAGACAATCATGCTGCTCACCCATTTGTACCTAGTCCCCAAGAGGGACAAGGGTCCAGAGCTGACTGCAGAGCTCTGTACTCTCCAGCCCCTCTCCACAGCAGGTTCTGCTGCTCCTGCAACTTTGTACAGTGTTCTGGATCTTTGTACAGATCCGGACTGTCACTGAAGAACTGGTCATGGGAGAGCCTATCAAAGCAGAAGTGAAACAGTGAAAGCAGAGACTCAAATTTGGATATTCAAGGTCACCCTCACATACACAGCTGTTTAGCAAGTGTGACAATACTTGACAGAAATTCAATTCAGTTTTTAAGAAGGCTGGCATTAGAATTTTAGGCACTGTCACTTTTGCTAAACAGCTTTGTTTGCAACGAGGAGCTAAGACAAGGAGATCAGTTACAGCAGCTGTTTTCTTTTTTCATGTATTCTGAAAAAATATATGTTATTTCTTTTGCCCTATATACTAGGCAGAGGCAGAGAGTGGAACAGCAGACCTCAAGCGCCATTTGGAACATGAAATACTTGATTGTACGGGGAAGGACATGAATCTCCTGTCTGAAGAATATAACAGAGGAAAAGCCAACATCAATCTACACCGGTCCAGTTGAATTATAAAACATAAACAGTTTTGTGAATATATATGTACTGCTTCAGACTGTACATAAGAAAAAATGTCAGACCTTCAGAGATTCAGTATATTGCATTTATCCTAGTTAATTTAACCATAAAATCCAAGGTAGATATCAGTACAATGATTCATGTGATCTGTTATTGCTGGATAGGATCATCCACTGCAGAGACCTGACACTGCCATTCTTTTTATGTACATCTAATCAGCACAGCTGAGCTCTGTGCTGTCAGGTTAGAGTGCTGAAGGTACTTAAGTTATCTGGGTTAAATATAGCTCAGTTAGCTTTAAACTACACAACAAACACAGCAAACATACCCAAAGAACCCCAATATTGTCTTATGACTTTTGTTCTTGACCCAATCTATTGCTGGAAGCAATTATCAAGTTCCCTTATGATTACAAAGCTTCATCATTTCCTGCCTGCTCTTCTCTGCATCCCAAATAGACAAGGAAGTCAGCCTTCCTGGAAAGAATACAGAGAACATAATTTTTCAAAGGTTTTCCTTAAATATACAGAATAAAACTTAAAAAGAGGTCAGGAGTAAATGGTTCAAAACTGCATGTGGGACAAGGGACCCCCCAATGACCAATCCCACTGACTTCACTGAATGTCTTCTGCATAAAATGCACCCAGCAGATCCTGTCCTGAACTCATTATCTACATGACTATATATGCAGAACTGAAAAACAGAGAGAACATGATCTGTCCATAGAATCTGGCATAGCTGGGAGGGAAATGGAGATAACAAAAGTATTTTCAGGCCCCCTTAGAAATTTTGCAATGCCATAAAGTCAGTAATTGTAATGGATAGGTACATTTGCTGGTTAATATGTAACAAGCTAGAATGTCTCTCTAAATCACCATCTAGAAATGTTTTGAAAGAGAGGGATTGGATGGTCTATTCAGTGTATTAAGCAGGAGAAAAATCTGGCCAATAAGGCAGAGTCTGTAATGCCTCAAAGAGAGGGATAGACTATATGCATGAATAAAAGAGGCAGGTTGTCCTTCCCTAAAAACACAGGATTGAATGGTAAGTTAAATTACCCTAATACGGTAAACTTGATTATTTATGCGTAATGCTAGAATGCTAAACACAAAATTATTGACAAATAACAGTTGAGAGACCTCTGGAAATACATTGTGAAAACCAAAGTATTATTTTCAAGAACAGCAGAAAGGTAAGAGACTTTACTTTTCCTAGCAAAACAGTAATATTATGGAAATAAGACAGTGAAATGACAGAATCATTTTACTTGGTAGCACAAGTCATCAAAGCAAATTGTCATCAAAGAATTGGGATTTCATTCAGTCAGGGAGATGAGAACAAATGTAGTTTCACTGACCTTAATGACAGAAGATTTGTTTTTGCTCCTCCGTGCCTGCAGATGAAACACTTCCTTGCAACTTTAAAAGGCTGAAGGAAGCAGAATACTATCTATGATCAGAAATGTGTAATAATAATAACACTATTGATAATCCAGAGACAGCAGAAGTAAAATAAACTAAATAAAAGTAACATTGCTGTGAGGCTTACAAAACATTAGGCAGGAAAACCAACATAAATATGAGGGGGTTAAAAAGTGGTATCATAGCAGAGAGGTGACAGCAGAATATTATCTGTAGCTTATGGAAGAAGTGAGAAAATACGCTTTAGGTGTATCTCATACTGAAGATGGAGGACTTTTTATTATCAGCTCTTCAAATTATAATTTTGATATGTGATTTTAGAGAAAATTTACATTGCTGAGCTATAAATATTGATGGCAGTATTTACCTTTCTGTGCCAAGGGGCCAAATGCATCTCACAAAATCATTGAGAAATTTAAATTGAAAAAAATCTCAGGAGGTCATCTAGTCCAACCTCTTGTGAAAGCATGAAACTTAAAAAAAAATGCCTGTAATGGGCTTATTTACTCAGATTTTCAGTTCATATATTGCTTTAAAAGATATATTTTGTTTCTAAAACTTTCTGCTTTTACAATCACTTGCAGAGTTTCCATGTCTAAGCAATGCTCTGGTTTAGTCCCTTTGAACAGGCCTGGACTCCTGCTGAATTATACAGGTCTCTACAACCACACTTTCTAATCTCCTTAGAAATATGTTTCAAGACTTACGGATTGCCATCATTTCAGTAGCTCATTTAAGGGTCATCTGGGCCATACTGTAAATTGCTGAAAAGGTACTTAACCCACTAAAGGCCTTAAACATACATACCCCTTCTTCTCTTGGTGTTTTTGTTTGCTCACTCATTTTCTTTGCTGAGGGTCTGTGTGGGGAAGTGGAGGTGGGAAGGAGATTATACAGCTATATGTCCACTTTTCTGTGGGCTGCGACTCCAAGGGAGCCAGAACAAGACAGAGGAACGGGACAACAGGAATCTCATGACATTCAACAAGGGCAAATGGAAATCCTGTACTTCAGACAGATTTAATGCCTGCACCGTGCAGGGAGCAACTCTCCTGGAAGGGACCTGGTGAGCAGCAGGTTACAGAGGAGGCAGTCCCCTGCTTTCCACGTTTTAATTGCATGGTCATGTTCCAATTGCATGATCCATGTACATGGATGCTCACTGTGTCACCCTGCTTCTTTCTGGGTTTCCATAAAACAGATTGAAACTAGAGAAGGTTTTGGCCCCTTTAGCGCTCAGGCCTGTACCAAACTACTGCTGGTTTGGTTAAGGGGTCAAGTGTGTCCGTCACTGATGGAAACATCTCCACAAACTCAGTCTTTGACTCAAATATTTTTTTAGTCAACAAGTCATAGGATGACAGTCTTATGGATACTTGGTGAGGTCAGGGAGAGCTTATAGTGGAAAATATATCTAACCATGCAAAATAACAGAAATGTTTCATTTATATCTTTTATAGCAGAAAAACAGCAGACAACATTAGGAAGCCTGCTTAGACATTCAAGAGAAAATTCTCAGAACTTCATTACTCGAGGAGTAAAGATTTCATATGAAACAGCAGTAAACCCTTTGCTGTAGCTGCTACTAACTGGCTGCAGCCACAGAAGAGTAAAGGGCTCAGTGACCTGAGTCTGCAGCATCCCTGAAGATGTCCATGAACAATGCACCAAATGTATTCTCGGATCCAAATGCAAATCGGTTTCAAGTTAACATAATTAATGAAGGCCATGACGACAACGAAACAGCCCAAGAGGATGTGGGCTCTGACCCACCACATTATGAAGAAACATCTTTTACTGATGAAACACAGAACAGACTGAGAATCAGTTACAGACCAGGAAAAAGAGAATTATATGACAATTTCCTTCAAAATGCAGAGAAAACAGAAGCTAGTTTACATCCCTATGATACTCACACTAAAATGTATTATCTACAAACTTTTGGCCATAACACAATGGACCCAGTTCCCAAAATTGATTATTATAGAAACACTGGCAGCGTCAGTGGGAATAAGCTCAACAGACCAAGCTTATTAGAAATTCATGAACAACTGGCAAAGGTAAGTGAAAAGGAAAGATACAATTTTTCTCTATTCTATTTCCAGACTGTTAATTCTGCTTATTAATATGAGAAAGTCCTTAGATTCATGGACCTTACCCAAGAGAAAAAGTACAAGTAATTACCATATTTCCTCTGGTAGCTGCCGTCTGCTTGCTGCTCTGTATCCTGATCAAAGCAAAGATTTTTATTAAAAGGTGGTCATAAGGTACTTGATTAACAGAAAAACATTGCTTAATCTTGTCTAAAAGTATGGATCTACTTAATCTCTTCTGTTCCATGTAAGAGTTAGGATGGCAGATGATAAATGTCAATTCATAATTTAACCAGGCTACACAATTCACACTTATTCTAAACTTGAATTTAACATCAATGCATAACTAATTTTGACAGATTCCTCCGCTGTACTCATTAACAAATATAAGTGTTATAAAAAAGATTATGTGCAACAAATGCAATCTCAACCAGAAATCCAAAGCACTCCCTGTTTATTGCTGTAACAAACCATTCCAACTGCAAAAAAGAATCCAGAACAAGAGTGTTGAGGCTGAGTGTTTGCTCAGAAGAAGGATAGCAGACAAGAGTTTTCAGGTGCTGATTCAGTGAATGAATTTAGGCCTTCACACTCATTCCAATGAATTTGGAATGAATCTGAAGAGCTTCTTGAATGACTACACAGAAAGCATTTATGGAGGAATGATTTGGCTAAATTCCTCCTAATCTATCAATGGAAGAGCTGTTTAGACTTTGCTCATGTAATAGATGGGGCTATATCCATGTAAAATACACTTACAGAGAGAACTATAAAACAGAATACAACTGTCTAACCTGCCTTTGAATGATTTTGTAGAGCTGTTTCTCCTCTCTCCTTAGGAGAGACCTATTTTTGGTGGACCCACTGTAGGCATTTACTATTGATATATATGCATTTTGTGGGGAAAAAAACCCCTTCCCCTTAGCAGACTCTTCCTGTTTGCTCCACTTTTTCCACGTATACACCACAGTAAGTGAATAATGAAATACCAAAACATGCCCTTTATCATGATAATCCTCACTTTTGTCACCCCCCCATGGCTACTTGCAGAAGAATATACATTTGTCAGGTATGATCCTCTGGGGTTTGCACGTTGAAAACTTCCACTGGAAAGAATTTGAGAAGTTGGTAATATTAAGTCTCAAATACCAGATTTTCACTAATTTCTGTGTTAGTGTCTCAGACAGGTGAATTTTGCTGTCTAGTCACCTATCTAGATATTTTAAGGGTTGATTACCCTATGTGGAAAAAAAACCAAATAGCATGGAAAGCTGTAATAAGAACTTCTGTGGCAAGAACAAATAGATTACACTTTGAAACAGTTAAACTACTAAAAGACCTACTACAAAACAGTGGAATAACACGTTACTCTACTGACTTCATAAGCCATATCTTCCCCCTTAAGCCACAATACCAAGTTCTCTGTAAAAAGCAGAGACACAGGATACAGCTACTTTCAGAATCAAAAACCTTTTTTGAGGTTCTTAATTGTGCACTTATCAGGGCAGGGCTGGAGAGAGGTCATTGCTATAGTCAAGCTGAGACTAAAAGTGCCAATATGCAGCAAAAATCCCCATTCTTTTTTCTGTGTTGGCCAATTGTGAAATGAGAAATTTTGAGAGAAAACAAGCTCTCATCCCCATTCCACTCAGTTTTAGATACTTCTAAGGTCTGAATAATTTGGACAAGCATCTGATTTTTGGATGCTGGTCCAGATCTTGTTCAGACTTCCACTCTCTGCAGATTCACCTGTCCTAAGGAGGGTAATATAAAATAATGAAATCAAGAAAAAAAATAGCCATTAGCAAATTAGGACCCAATTCTTTAGGATCTTATTAGGGCAGCTTCCTAGCCTTGGCCTAACTTACCTAAATTAAGGTCTCCACAGACCTGTGTAAAATGGCTTACATGGAAAGGAGAAGCATTTCCAAAGACAAATGCAAAGTGGATATAAAAGGGAAAAAATATGAATTTGGTATCTGTATTCGTTTGCAGATGTACAACTGCTGCTCAAGAGACTAAACCCATTTCTATGCCCAGAAGAAAACTTCCTCTTATAGAAATAATTTACTTCAGTAGTGGCCAGAGAGGAGTAAAATAGTGTCTTAGCTTTGAACATAATGCTGAATGATAAGGTACTGAACATAAGCATATTAAGGAATTTTCAGTTTTGATCATAACCAGAAAATTCCATGGTTTTTACTGCTGCATCTCTCAAAGGTTTGTATATTTGAAACAAAATGAGATAACTTTGTTTAGGTTTTTTTAAGGCTTTCACTTAGAGAAGGTTAAAAAGAAGGCAGATGATATCACGGAATAAAATGAAGGGAGAATTGCTTCACAGGTTGGGACTTTTAGGGAAAAGAGCATCATCTAGCTTGGCCATTTCCATACTTTTTCCAGTATTCAGCTTACAGAAGGATAATCTTATGCCTTTCAAAACAGGAAGGTGAATGTCAGAGGTAATGGGATTTTTGTTACACTGGCAACCTGCTGTGCCCTTATGTGAGTTGTGGCCCTGGTGTGGGAGCCACTGAGCACAGCCCTGGAACAAACGAGGCACCATTAGCAGGGCTGGAGTCTGTGCCTGGCTGTCCTGGGTCTCCCTTGGTGACCTTGGGCAAATCACTTCGGTCTGCAGAGCTTATTCTGAAGAATAAACAAACGCAAGGTCACTAAATAGCAGATTAGTAGGGAAGGGAATTAGGATGGTATGAAAAGGAGGATACATATCCTATCAGGAGGATAAGATATGTATGAGCAGCTGGACAGGGGCCCTGCCTGCAGCCCCTGCCTGCAGCAGGAGCTCTGGCCACCAGCAAGGAGGGGATGAAATGCCCCATTGAGCAGGTACAAGGGTTACACAATAGCCCGAGGTGCAGTTCTGAAGAGGATGCTCTATTTTACTTTAACACTAAAATCTGGGCTTACCACACTACACCCCAAGGCAATCCCACCCCCCTCACCCCCAATTTGAAACTCAGATTGTTGAAGACAACTATACTGTCACAAGCCCATTGCCAGATTCTGATAAGAAGTGGCATATGTTTGACTTCAGATTGCTAAACATCACATAACTATTCCCATTGTGCTTTGATGCTGGGCTTCACATCAGAAGATAAATATTAATATTTAATACTTTTTTTTAATATGCAATTTTTCAAATGTCAGAATGTAAGGCAGGCTGAAAGGAGCTTCAAATATCTAGTTTCCACACTGCTGGAGTCAAACGTGTGTCATCTTTTAGCAAGACATGTCAGGTTTTTGCACATATTAAGCCACAAATCGCCAATTAAATCTCTGAAAAATAGTCTAAGTGCTACTTCACAGCTGATGGCTGCTGATAATTACTTGGGCTTAATATTTACCCTACATAAGAAATAATCTAACCTTTCTTCCTCTTGGCTATTCTCCACACTTGTTACGGAGACTTGATGAGCTCATCATCTTTAGCCCCAGGAGAGATGAAGACTAAACCATTCTGAAACAAGAAAGGAAAATGTTTGGGTTAGTTCTTTTTTATTTTTTTTTTAAGCAGTTAACTTTTTATTTTAGTAGCTTTTCAAAATGTTCTGTCACTTTTATTCCACATCCTTAATGCATGAGTAGCACAGGTACAGCTGCTTGGTAAATAACCAATCATTCACTAAAGCACGCCAATTTAAAATGCATTTATGGAAGGTTTAAGGCCATAATTTATGATAATGGCATAGAGAGCACAAATTAATTCAAAGTACAGAGGAAACAACTTGTTTCAAGTACAAAGACCAAACCCTTTTAATTTTTTTGTCTTTGAAATTCTAACCACTGTAGCAAAAACCCCTCATATTATTCTGCTGATCTTCCTTAACTCACTTTAATCATTTACCGTATTTTGAGCAAACACAGCCATTATTATTTCAGGGTAAGAATTGTCAAAAGTATCTAAGTAACTCAGGAGCTCAAAGTCACAGGCTTTCAACAGATCTTGTATTCCCATTTCACTTAGGGCCAACAGGGCTGTAGGCACCAAGTTTAGTCCATGTCGAAATGTATTATCCAGTCACTTATTTCTCATTTGTGAGCACAGTCCTGGATTTACTGTGTCAAAGGCATTCTACAGCCTTGCATCATCATGACTAGAGCCCCCATCCATGAGGGGCAGGTCCAGATATTAGTGTAAAAGGCATATTCAGTTGGCCTTTATGTCTGTTCTGGGTTTGTGTGTTGGGTATTTTTAAGTTCACGGACAAAATACAGAAACAGCCTTAAAGTCAATCAAGATGAAAAATCTCATATGTTTCACAGAATTACAGATGTTTTTCCTCCTTGACCTGCTTGGTTAATCTGGAAATATCTTCACTAACCTCCAAACCTTAAAAGCACCTTGATTCCTTTCCAGAAGTGCTACCCACTCCTGACTCTGCCAGACTATGGCAAGGGGCTTGGTCCTTCCTGAAGGCCTTTGCAGAGGACCCAGAAAATATCTGGCAATAGCTAACCTAATGCCAGCTGCTCCCAGAACCAGGGAGAGCTCTGAATAAGATAAAAAAAGAAATTAAAAGCAGCAATGACAAAGAGCATAAACCTCAGCACCATGACTAATTCCTATTCAAGCCACAAGAAATATATCATGGTGCTAAATTGCCTCAAAGATTCTGGGGCAGAAGAGCTGAAGAGATAAAATACAGATTTATATTTGTAACCTAATATGAACAATCTAAAATTCTGGACTATTATTCTGGTTACACCACAAATACAGCAATTCCTAATCCTATCTACTATGGTTACACCAGAGGTGGCTAAAACACAGAAAGGATTATTCACTTACTACATTTCACTGGCATTTCTCTAACTGTTTTCAGGAATATGTTACCCATCTGCTGCTGCAGTTATGTTTGTACTTTATCCAACAGAAAACACTGGAGTTCATCACATAACTTCACCATGCAGCACTCAGCTCAGTCTCTTTTCACTATTGAGCAATTATCCCTCTTTCTACACTTGGAGTTATTCATAAATTGTTGCAAGAGCATGCAGAGGCCAACCAGGAGCCTCTCACTATCTTAGATGCTCTACTTACATATCAACACAATATGTATGTGGAATAGTTCACAATAAAAACACTTAAGTACAGATAATAATGTATTTACTCTGCTTAAGCGGTTCTTTCATCTTTTCTCCCCATTAGCAAGCCCACCTGCTGATGCCTGGTGTAAGCAGAATATTGCTCTCTACTCCAGAGGCAGTAAAACCTGATCTTCTTTGGAATTCCTTTCTCCTGTGTCTCTTATGCAGCCAGGTGTCCTCTGCTTTGCACAAAACCGTGTTTGTTTTCTGTGTGATTCTCCAGAACATCGCTGTGAGCACTGGCTCAGTGGAGAGAATGGCTAATGGAGAGAGCACGGCTGGAGAGGAGACAGCAGCCAGCAAGGAAGAGGAAAACAAAGCAGGATTTGTCAAGTTCGGATGGGTGAAGGGTGTGCTGGTGAGGAACTTACCTGCACTTCTAAACAAAAAAATTAAAAGCAAATAAAATCAGTTCTGTTACACTAAGGTCTTCTAAGAATTAAGAGTGGGAGATGGACTTCAGGGATGTTTGGGGTGTTTTTTAAAAGCCTGAAATGTACTCTGTCACGCTGCTGGTTGTTAACACTACTTTCAACATTGCACTAATGCAGTATTTTTTCTTTAAAACCTAGGTAAGATGCATGCTTAATATTTGGGGTGTGATGCTCTTTATTCGACTTTCCTGGATTGTAGGTCAAGCAGGAATTGGTATGTATCTTATTTAATATCATTTTCAACAGTGAAGGGATAAAGAGGATAAACTATACATGATCATGATTAATATATAATCTGAGATGTGCATTTGCATGTTGAACTAAATAACGTTTTCAAATGCTTGCCAAGGTAAAAGACATTAATCCTCCAAACTATTGGAATTTTCCAGACTCACAGCCAAATTACTGCTTAGAGGCACAGATCTGTTAACTATGCATATGATCATCACATTTGAATATTTCTAAGCTTTAGTGAAATTTGTATTTAGATCCTGTAACAGATGTAAACTTTATGACTCGGGCCAATTTCTAATATGTGAGTACAGAGTTAACCTTTAGGAGTTCACACTTTGCTTATCTGTGAAACCCAAACCTTGTCATCTACATATTAAAAACAACACTTCTTCACACTTCTCTGCAAGGATGAAAACAGAACTGGAAGGAGGTCTCATCTCATCAGGATTTTGTTATTTTTAACTGCAGAACAGTACTAGATACTAGTGTACTATGAAAGACTAAGTTTAAAAAACTCTGCTGTAGCTTTCATATAAATTAACTAAGTACACTTCACTATGTGCTGTATCTTTGCTTCTTCATTGTGCAATTTAATTAATCCAAATTCCAAATGCCAGTCCCTGGGGGACTGGGCTCCATCCAGTATGTTGCTGAGTGTTCAATGAAACCAGTGAGAGAGGAAAGTGCTCACAACGCTGCAAGAATCTCCAGCACTACAAGAGCAGCTCAATGAGGTGCAATTTCTGTGTGGTACAACTGCCTTTTTAGAGCTGCTGCTCTGGGGAAGCACAGAAACGTGACCTGCGATGGCACTGTCACTCTGGGATCCATGATCCTGCAATCTGGAGTGTTGGGGCCCTAATCTTTGACTGGCACCCAGATGTTGCAAAAAATGCAATCCAAAGGCATGATGGCAAGTATTCCAGTTTGGATGCTCACAGAATGGAAACATTAAGTAAATTAAGGAGCGTTGACTCTGCTGGGCTTGGATAAAACTCAGTGCTCAAAATCAGATGGTATAACTGTCATTCACTTCCTTGTTAATGGAAGTGAAATGAAACATTGAATCGAAACATCTCCAAAATTTTGCATGGTTGAAGTCTCATTTCCAATAAAATACAGTAACTTCACTCGAGCAAGTCTGAGCTTTTAAACAAAGAATAACAAAGGAAACGCTTATTAAGTAAAAAATCCAGCCACAAACTTACAGAAACACAAATAGAAACAAGAAACCCAACAATAAAAGATCCAGACCTAAGCAGGAGAACTTTAGTACTTCTGCAGTGCTCCATGCATGGCTCCAGCACTGTGCCTGACAAAAGGGTGCTTGCTGATTTTATGATGCATACCAAATGAGCACGTACAGCCCAGGGCACTCATAACTATATGCCTTGCCATGAAATTTCTGCATCTTAATATTGCCAAGACTTTGCTCTGGGGTTTCATGCAAAATTAGTTTTTAAGGGCAGTTTAGTAACTTATTGAGATCATCAAGAAGTATTACTTTGTTTTGAGGTGTGAGAATAGCCATGGGCAAAAGTAATTCATTTTGGAACAACTTACTTAGGAGCCATATGCCTGCTTTTCAATCGAAACTTTAATCAGATTTTTAACATTAATTTGCACCAACATCAGTTACAACCTTTCTGCTTTCACTTTTAATTTTACCATTTTAACTCACTGATAAGCAGACTCTCTTTCCTTAGAGTTTATTGCTCTGCTGTTGCTTTTTAAAGTTGCATGTGTTATGCAAGGAGGTTAGTTTTACTTCTGAAAATGAGACGTCAAATTCCATATGAATAATTTCTCATTGCATTTTCTGAATGTCTTATTAGCAATGAGCTTTAAGTCCCTAGCCAAGCTGCTTAAGGAGAACAGTGATGGAAGCTCATCATCACCAAGGCTCAGGGATTTCACTGGGTACTGCTACTAACATGGAAATTAAATGAGTCAGTTAAATCACCATCTGGGCACCATTTATATCCCCATCATTAGGGGGCCAAAGAGAGCAAACCCAATTATTTCCATATCCTGATAGGCTGTCTTGGGCAAAAGCTCTTACAGGGGGAAAAAAATACCATTCAACAAAGATCTGTGTTTATCATCAGCTGGGAAAAAAGGGACAGTATGGTCCTGACAAGATTCCAGGTCCAAAACTAGTCTGGTATTTTCACCTAACATCTGAGGACTACATGTACCTGGAATGGTTAGCCAAAGGAAGGTAAAAACACCAAGTTTATGTTACCTGAAAATCTGGCCCTGAATATTACAATTATGTTATGTTATATGACAATGTTTTGGTTAAGTCACTGCATTTTACGCACTTTTATTCTTAAATCTCATAATATTTTTTAAAAATTAACATTAAAGTCTTTCTATGAAGATGTTACTATCAAGTTAGCAACTCTATATATCATATACATGTTAAAGACATGAATTGTGAAATGCAATAAAACATCTTTGAAAAATACTCCTTAGGATGCACATGCACTTACCAAATAATTTTAAAACTACTTTAAGAATAATATGTCTAAATTATTCAATTTAGGAGTTAACAGCTAATTAAAAATCATGTTCAGCCACTTCTCAGACACAAAATTTGCATGGTTTAACCTTCTGTGTAATGGTAGCTGACCAAAAGGAATGACCATTTGGATTTCTTTTTATACAGACCTGCATACGAAAAGCTGCATGACTAGTTAGAGTTCAGAAATCAATAGGATAAACATAATTTATTAGAGGTTCAAATCACTTTGAATATCCTACACCACGTTATATATCATTTATGTCTTGCCCATGACATCTTTCTGTCTTAAAGGACTGTGATAACATGGCTATAATTTAAGCAGTAAAGAACATTCACTCAGGGACTGGGTGGCTATAACCATCCAGTATGAACTGAAGTCAGGAATCTGATCTGGAAGCCAGAAGGTAGAAATAAACCAGATGAATCAATCAGTTTGTAGTACTTCTCGCTCAGTGATAGTTGTCAGATCCAAGTTTCAATCTGCATGAGCCCTGGTCAATAAATATTGCTACAGCCAATGTATGTTCTCCAGTTCCACACTGAGCACCTCACAGACACAAGGCAGCTAGTGCATAAGCCTTAGCAAGCTCAAATAAAACTGAAAACTGATTGTTAACAGAAACCTGACCATATAACCAAAGACTGGAAATGTTCTCAGATTTCAGAGCATAACCTAAACTAAAACCCAGTTCACCTGTAACTAATCACCTTTCACTCATCTTCAGATGTTTGATTATTTCTGTTCAATTACTCAAGTTTGTGATATCAGCTAAAAAAAAAAAGAATATTCTAAGTTCTCTAAGATTACAGGTCACCTGTTAAAGTAAATGGCATCTAAAAAGCAGTATTTCCATTTTCAAATGTTTGTCCTGTGTTAGACTAAAACTACTTTTTGCAGGGAAAGAGGGAGATGAGGACATCACTCAGGTTTTGTCTCTCTGCCTGACTGATTCTTTGTCCTGGTGCACTATGAATCTTCCTCTGACTCACTATTTAATTATCTGATGAAAGACAGCAGCATTCTTACAAGAGCTCTGGTTAATGTGTCAATCTCCTCATTTAAACAGCTAGGATGCCTGTTAAAGGTAGATATAAGTTTCCATGTCAAGGGACACTTGTTTGTTCATTTCCTTCAGCCTTTGAAAATCATGAGAATTTCTGGCTAGAGTACTCCTATCACAAAGAATCACTGCTTGAAGACTGATGGGAATAATTTACTACCATGTCATGGCCTCCATGAAAATGTTCTGCAAGCTGCAAATGGTCAACAAACCATCTTTTCAGTTTATTGCTCTGATTCTGGCCTGAAAATTCAATTTAAAGAGAGAATGATTTGTAGGAAACATGGAACATGAGTAAAATATTTTATCTTCTTATTACTGACAGGTCTTGGAGTAATCATAATTCTCCTCGCCACGATGGTAACCTCAATTACTGGGTTGTCAACTTCTGCAATAGCAACTAATGGGTTTGTCCGTGGAGGTAAAAATCTTAGGGTTACTAATGCTTTCAAGCCCAAAAAGGTATTTATGTATTATTTCCGTGTGAGACAAACCAGAGGGACGATAAACCAAGTGGTACATCTAAAGGAACTGGAAGGTAACAATTCTAGCCACCTCTCATCACAATTTAAGGCATGTTTTAATAAACCACAGATTTCAGTTCAGTCTGAGAAGTACATTTCAGGTGTTCCTGCCTGCTGGGAGCGAGGGATGGCTGCTGGCTTTCCATGGCTGCTCTTACCTTTCAGCTGGTCTTTTCTATTCAGAGCATTCCAGGTTGGACATCCTTCAACAAACTGAGCATGGAGACACCTCTTCCTCTCATTTTAAATACTGATGCACATCAGTGGATGCCTTCAGTTTAATGCCTTCTTTATAACACTTCTCACATTTCAGCCACTCCTTGGAAGACGAGTAAATGATTTTGCTGTAAAAGTGCACGTCAGGTATTTTATGAAACAAATTTCTAGTGCATTTCAGAGCCTTTAAGTTCTATCTGGCCTGGTCTAACCTCTCTGGAAAATGGCAAGTTCTTACTACATCATTTAAGCACAACAGGTACTGGAATATACTTGAATATACTTTCTTTTTCGGATCTTTCAGGTCTTGGAATCATAGTTATTGTTCTGAGTGTAGTAGTAACAACATTGACAGGTATCTCCATGTCTGCCATTTGCACTAATGGAGTAGTAAGAGGAGGTAAGTGATTAAGATCTCATGAAAAATACAAAAATCTGCAGATTTTACTTAGAGAAATAAATGGAATTGAGATAACTGTGTTATAAGCAAAGAAATAATAAGCAAATATATTTGGAGTGATTTCTTTCAGTGCATCAACAGCAAATTAAAATGTATATAAACTTAATGCAAAAAAGATTAAAGATTTACTGCAGGAGCTTAAACAATGTACCACAGAATATGATCCTTCATGCTAACACTGGGACAGATCCACGTAAGTTAGAACCTGTCTGGAAGTGAGGTTCTCTCTCCTTGGTGTTATTATATCATGTATCATGAAAAATTATAACAAGGTCCAGTTTTGCATGCTAATGTGCACTAAAAGATTTCTGCAATAGAAAGGCATACTGTGAAGTCTGAGGGCAGAACCAGTACAAAGCACACTGCTTTTCTGTAAGTGCCCTCTATCAACATAGGGCAAGGTTCAGTTATATTTGTGAGGCTGAAAGCACAGATTTCTGCAGTAATTGTTCTGTGGGGAAAAAACAGCAAAAACTGAGCATTTAGTTGTGCCAAAATAACAATCATTTCTGTCTGCAGGTGGAGCATACTATCTTATCTCAAGGAGTCTGGGCCCAGAGTTTGGTGGATCTATAGGACTTATCTTTGCCTTTGCCAATGCAGTGGCAGTGGCCATGTATGTAGTTGGATTTGCTGAAACAGTTGTGGAACTTCTTAAGGTAAATGTAGATGTAGATGTTTCAGGTATATGATTAAGTTAGTTTAGTTTTTTTGTGTTTTGTGTGGCTTTTTTTCTTTTTTTAGGGGGTGGTGTTTTACATAATATATTTGTTTAAGTGGTGATACTTTTTAGCTAAGGCTTGAGGGACATTTTTAGCAGGGAAAAAGCTGGTTTGTCTAAACATGCCACAGAACACTTCTCCATTATTTCTACCTTATGAATATATTTCATACATTTCTTGACAAGAATCTCAAAATCAGAAGAGGAACAGGCATCTAATTAGACAGCCAAATAACCCCAACTGCAGAAGGCCAGCTGGAACATGAAATACAAACACTTGGTCTCATAAATCTCTGCAACTTTGACAGCTCACTGCTCTCTACTTCACCTTGTTACTTGATCCCACCAGTTGGGCAGAGAAACACTGGTTCTATTAACATTTCTCACTGCTTTCAGGAGAGTGATACTCTGATAGTAGATGAGTCCAATGACATCAGAATCATAGGCACCATAACTGTTGTCTGTCTTCTCGGCATCACTGCTGCTGGCATGGAATGGGAAGCAAAGGTAAACCTTTAAAAGAACATTAAAGCAAGTGGTATTTTAGCCTACTGTACAGAATTTGTGTGTGAGGAATGCTACACAACAGGTAGAATTTTCAGAGGCACCCCGTTTCAGTTTATGCTTAATCTTTCTAAAAGTAAGAGCAGTTTAATCATTACATTCAATGAAAGCACAATTACTCCACACTCTTCCTTGAACATACATTTAAAAGCAAAGAGGAAGTTTGTGTTCTGCAGACAGCTTGGTTATATTGATTTTTATAATTCATGGCTTCATTTAGAGCCTTGGCTAAGTGCCCCTTTTGCCCTTATTTTTGATGCAGTTTGACAGACTAAACAGTAGTAAAATATTGTTTTATCACTGTACTTTTTCAAGCCCTGCTCAGCAGAAGATCTCTATTTGCTACCCATGATTTCTGCTATTCCTTCACCTGTAAAAAAAGGTCAGAATGCAAATTCAAATGGAAATACTTTAGAGGGTGTAATATAGCTATTGAAATCAGGACCAGAAAACAGATTCAACAGCATTTTTACATTCTGCTGTGATGGAGACTAGAACTACTTGAAAAAGAGATCAGAAAACAATTTGATATTACAACCCTTGAAGTCACAACTCACTGCAACTAAACAAATTTTATAACAATATAAAAATGTCTTATACTTGATATTAATGCATTACTGTTCCATATGCCTTTCCTTGTATAAAGAAACTAACATAAAATTAAATTATAACTACATATTTCATTACTCCCTTAGTAGAAAGTATCTGCTGTTGTCACTAGCTGATTCAGCTATCTTGATTCCTGGTAGTTTGGAGAACTACAGAAATTAATAACCTGTCATAGGGAACACATACAGATAACTTACTATATAGCCATCTCCACAGCAACACAAATTAAAACTAACAGGAAAATCTTTTTGCTTCTATTAATAGGCTCAAGTTATTCTTCTAATTGTTCTCCTTGTTGCCATTGCAAACTTCTTTATCGGGACAGTCATTCCTACCAACACCGAAAAGAAGGCAAGAGGCTTTTTTAATTACCAAGGTAAGCAACCTTGCTATCATAAAATTATGATTTGCATTCTTTTGGCTTAGCAGTAAGTTAAGGATTCCACTGAAAAAGGTCACAAGATCAGAATCTTCTGCCCAAGTTTAAGTGAGCTTGCAAACAAAGGGAATTTATTTCATCTTTAATTTTGAGTCTGTCTCTCTGCTGCTGAAGTTGACAGCACAGTGAGCTGCAGCTTGAGTCATTTATACATCAGTAGAGCACATTCAAACTTTAACACAGACCTAAGTGCAAGTACTGCAGTGACACTTCTGTCACTTCCATGTGGCTCTGTAGCTCTGAGATGCAGACAACCACATCCTACTGGGGACCAGACTGAGGAAATCAAATTCACTTTGCTTATGATATGAGACACATTCAAACCCAGTCTTCCAGATGTGAAAGACTGGCTTATTCTCCTCATTCATTAAGTAACTTTGGAATCAAATCCTGGTGGTATATTTCATTTTCACCTGTATTTGCAGCATCGATATTTGCAGAAAACTTTGGACCAGATTTCAGAAGTGGAGAAGGATTTTTTTCGGTGTTTGCCATTTTTTTCCCAGCTGCCACTGGCATTCTTGCAGGAGCCAATATCTCAGGAGATCTGAAAGTACGTATTTCATTAACTTCATAATATTATCTGTAGGCTGAAAAAAAGAAAAAGAAAACAAATCATGAATCAACTCTGTATTCAGTTTTAAACCATGTCTTATTTTGGGAAGCAAAACTCTCACTTTTAAGTACCAGATTTATTAATTGAAAACATCAGTTCACATCTTCTCTCATAAGCATTGTGGCTATTTACAGAAATTACCACAGTTAGATTTGGGTTATTGTACCATTTAAAAGCATGTTTCAATAACCTGTAATAATATATCATTAATGGTCCATTAGCAGCACATGACATAAGAGAAATTATATGTGTATCTCTTAAAGCTTGTATTTTGTAAACATCAATCCAAACATCACCCCAAAAACCATACCTGTAAAGCTCAAGTTTGTACTCACAGGAACTGGCAGAGACCACCTTTTGTATTCAGGGTCATAGCAAGGGCAGAGCAAACAGGGCATTTAATGAAACTGTGTCCCAATCCCATGTCACTACTGCTGCTCAAAGGAAAAGCTGCAAGCTTGCAGCTGTGACAAAAGAAAGGAGTCTGAAGAGAAAGGGGAAGGAGGTCCAAGGGCAACCAACTGTCTTGTTGTGGCCATTCTGTCTGTTCCCCACTCTCCTCTTGCTGTTTAGCAGTTATAGGGGGTGATATTTCCAGCAGCTAAAATTACAGGTAAACTAGAGACAGGAATTTAGTTTCGAGTGCCCTCTAGTTTCCATCACAAAAACATCCAACCCCCCCTCTAAATTAAAAAGAAAAATAAAAAAAAGTCACCAACAAGATGTCACTCACAGCTTGATAACCCCAGTATGTCAAACTAAGTTATTTGGCCTTCTCATATAAATCCATTGCCTTGGATACCCCAAGGATTCATCCAAAGGTCTGTTATATCTGTATTGGCATAGGAGTCACAAGTCAACCACATCCTACCACACTTGACAGCCAGTTCTCTTCCTCACACTGAGCTGATGCCTCATCTCCTTTGTTTTCAAAGGACTGCTTTTCAAGCCAAGCACAGAGAGAACTACATTGAAACTGAGCCACTGATAGCGTCAGTGAGATTCTAGTTTTAATTAAAAAACCAAAAATCATTGTACTCCTGCCCAGTGAGACTGAATCAGCCTCACACAATCTCCATCCTTTTAACAAACAAAAATAATTCTTTTGCCATATATGGTGCTCTCTCTACATGGCAGCTCCCAAAGCAGCAGCACTTCTTTCATAAGCTGTTTGAAAGAATCCGAGCAGACAGAGTTCTCCCGTTGGATCTCTGCAGTTGTTTCAGTCTGACAATAAGTGGATTTCTATAAGCAAGTCCTCCAGACTGCAGATCCCCACTGAGCATGTTTAGATGCATTAGACAGGTCTAATTAAATTAACCAGCCTCTCCAGAAACCTAAAAGACAAGCTAAGGAGTGTTTAAAAAGTGTAATATTGACCAACGAAACTTTCTTTGGAATTTGTTGCAAACACCTTCATACATGCTCCTGCAGCCACTACACACTCAAGTTGTGTCTTAGTCCAAAGCCTACTTCCAAAAACAAATAGTCTTCCTGGTGACATCAGTAGGGTTTGGAGCAGCCCCTAAAGTGCTAACAACATAGTATATATGTGTTTGATTTTTGACAGAATTTAAAAGTTGTAAAGCTGTAAGAAGACTTAACCCTAAGATTTAAGGTTACAGAGTTTAAGATAACCACATTAGACTCTAGATGACCTGAAACATGCACACCAGGACTTCATAAAGTTGCCAAAGTCTGAAAGCAAAGGGTGTTAAATGCACATCAAGTGACTTCAAAACTATTTTTCAGCTCGATAAATCTTTACGTCATTTAAAAATCATATTAATTATTAACACAGTTAAGCCATTCATCCATGTTTCACATTGTTTTTAACCATGCAATGACCGTAGTTATAAAAAGTCTGTGACTTAAAATGCATTCAACTAATTTTTGATTTAAAAAACCTTACTAAACCAACTTAAGAAGACACTTAATAAAAAATGCTTCCTAGCATAAACAAACACACCCTAAATTGTAAGGTTATCTAGCATTAAAAACCCCTTAAAAATGTATAATGCAGATCTTTGGACTCAGTTGCATGATCAAAGCTGATATTGTTGTGAGCTAGTCTGTAAGCATCATGACCCAGCCTTAGTAACTTATCTAAATTAAATGTCAAAACAGTGAAAGAAAGTAGCTGTTGTGAAGACCCAACTAACAATTACTAGTTGCTAATCACAGAAGTCCTGTATTCTGTACAGGGTCACTGCATCCATCTCACCAATTAACCAAAAATGGTCCCATCTTGTCATCCACAGGCGTTTGATGGTTGGTTCAGTAATTATTTAGCAATTACATCATCAAACATTAAAATAAAGCCAACGGCAATGTAAAGAGAGTTTGGAGCTCTCAGAAATGCAGAGATCAGGACCCTCCTGCTGCAATAAATGTGACCTCTGTACAATATCCTTCACTGTGTCCAGGACAGGAGCACTGCCCCACAGGACCACTTCACACTGTCTGCGTGCTGGGACCTGAAATGTTGGTGTAGGTCAAGGGATAAAAATCTGCCCTCTAAGGGTATCTTCACACCACAGTGTGGCAAGACTCCCAGCAGGCAAATGCAATCAGACTGCAGCACACACACTCACAGTGTTTTTCGTGTCCCTGCTTTGTTTTAAGGATCCCCAAAGTGCAATACCCCAAGGAACAATGCTGGCCATCCTGATCACCACCATTGCTTACATTGCCGTGGCCATTTGTGCAGGTGAGTACAGAACCTCTGCTTCAGGTCTGCTTTTGTACAGTTCAGTTTGGAAGCTTGGTATGCAAATGAATGATTAACCTCACTGCTTTTTAGTCCTGTGAACTTATTATGTAGAGAGACAGTAGTTTTGATTTTACTGTATGTAAAAACAGTGAGGGGGAAAAAAAGCAGTAATCAGCAGAAATGAAAGTGTCTTTTTGGTAGCTGGACCTTCATATAACTTGTATGGTTACTTTTGCTGACAAAGACCACTAGCATATAGTATCCATGAGCATAGTAAAGATGAAAGGAACCTCTGATCAATCTGCTGATCTTTTGTTCCTTGTTCACACTGAAATTTCATATGGCTTCTGCTTTCTCTCACTAGTCTTACTGAGCACTCATGAGAATCACAGAAACAGGGTAACACATTTTGTATGTCATATGTCAAAGACACAAATCAGTTCCTGTCTTACAGAAGATACACAACTCCATACTCTGCAGTATTGGAATGTGAGGTGACAACAAAGTGGACACAAATAAAAAGGAGACCTGTACTGAAGCCATGAACTGTGTTGGAGGATTATGCAGTTAAATCCTCATTATAAGCAGACAATAAATCTCTAGTCAAGAAAAATATTTTTCTTTATGTATTTAATAGTACTGTAAGAAAGAGGGTTGTAAATGACACCCCTTCTTATGAGCAAATACCTCAGTCCTGCATGAAAGCCCTGCAGAGTACTTCCTTTTCTGGGAGATGACTCTCAAGTCTTCTTGACTTTTGTTGTTCTTGTACTTTATGCAAAAGGCAGAATGCTTGACTCAAGCCTCAGCTCAGGTCACTGCATTATTTGGATCTAAATTTCCCCTGCAATTTAAGTTGAAGTAGTCATTCTTCACTTTCTATTATAAATTTCCTTTCTATTATAAGTCGTTGTTGTTTGTTTGAGAACATTGCACAAGCAATAGCTGTATTTCAAATTCAGAGCTGCGTATTTTTCAGGGCACTATTTCCTTTTTTTTTTTCTGTTTGCATATTGGTTTCCTAAATGGACAATGGTTATTTTGGGACTCTCAATGTTTTTGACATATTTGAAGTTATCATAAAAACTTACATTTTGGCCACTAAGGATGTTGAGATCAGCACTCCAAGTTGCCTCCATGTGTTTTTTCTCATTTCTGGTGGCAAGCAAATAAAGACAACATGAATATCAATAAACACAAAAAGAATATAGGCAATTTCTCCTGTTTTTTTCATCATATTGGTATCAGTAGGACTATGACAATTTGAATAGCTGAGGACCTGGGTCTCTAAAGCAATTGTGTGTCCTTGTTAAACAGAAAAATGTGTATGCCTAGACCTAAGACCCTCACTGACCTGTTTCCTTTGAATACTGGCACTTGTAAAAGTAGTGACAAGAAGACAATATATTTTCTGAGTTAGTTAATTTATTGTTGATTTCTGTCTTGCCTAATCTCAGAAATATGCTAATCCTCACTAGTCAACTGGCTGATTATTCTAAAAGTAACAGAAGGAAATATTTGCCTACAGACACCATGATAATCTAAGTCATAGAACAGGGTAGTAATCTCTGCCCAACACAAAATGTTGCTCTTGGGATGAGTCAAAGGTAGCAGTTGGACAAAATGTGTGCAGATTAAGAGTCAAATGGCAAGAACATTCTTCCAATGTCACAAGGAATGAAAATAATATATTATTGTTTCCACAGCCTCCTGTGTTGTACGAGATGCTACTGGGAACATCAATGATACAATTGTACCTGGAATGAGCTGCAATGGATCATCTGCCTGTGGCCTAGGCTATGATTTTTCCAGATGTGCAAGTCAGCCATGTGATTACGGGCTGATGAATAATTTTCAGGTTCTAATGACATAATATGTATAATCATAAGCAATACACGAATACATAATATATATTACAAACATTCAAACCCGTTATTTATAGACAACTAACTGCAACAGGACAACCACTTTTATCTAAAAAAGGAAGGAATTATAGGAATAATGAAAGGCAAAAATCACCTGCATTCCATAATATCTTCATACTGCCCATCACTAGCCTTCCTAGCACTCTGGTAAAGTCTTTATCTCCTCTTTCAACAAGTACCATGCAGCAGTATATGCTGTAACATCTTCAAACTGAAAGCCTAAACTTAACAGAGACTTCAGGAACTGTTAGATGAGCAACTCACCTCACTGCTCTTGACACATGGATGTGATTTTACCTCAGGGGTGCTGTGGTCACTGTTAAAGGTTTGTGTCATGGTACAAAAAACAGAGTTCTGACTTCTTTAAAAAAAGTATCCAAAAATAGTCGAGTGAAAAATCAAGTGAGAAGTAATGGGGTCTTTCTCCTAGGCCAGAGAGAGACTGTCTGCCATTTTTATTCTTCAAAATAAAGCATAGGCAAAGCATCAAAGTAAAGCAGTTCTGCAGCCTGACAACCACGGCTCCCAGATCTCTGTTCAGCCCCTCTCCTTCATGGCCTGCAAGAGGAACTCACCACCCACCTGCACTTGCTTTTCAACTAGTCATTTGTAGCTTTTAAACTCACTTGCTTTTTTCCCAGCTGGCTCTGCTAAATGACAGGGCTGGGTAACCACCTTAAAAGGGATATGCTGTCCCTTTCACAGACTACCTTCCTTTCCTTTCTTGATCATTTACCATCCTCACTCCCACCTCAGTTCAGCTGCCCAGACCTGGGGCACTCCTTTACATCAGTGACCTCCCTACAGCCATAAACGGAGTTGCACTTGTTGCATTTACCTTTGCCAGACTAAAGTCAGGAAACAATATATCTTCATCTGACAAATCTTCAGGATTAACTGGTTTCTTCCCACACACCAAAAAGCATCTGACAGCCACAGCCATCTATCTTTTAGTTTTCTTTTCTGGTGCTTCTCAACATCCCTTTTGCTTTAGTGGTCACAGAGGCCAGTCCAGCCCCCCAGGAGGGCTCAGGGAGGCCTAACAGGAACCAACATTGCTGTTTGCAGCACTGTGGTTATGCCAACACAACCAGGCACTTTCTCTCTTTTTTAGCCATATTAAATAATCAAGGAAACCCCAAACCAAATCAAATGCCTCCAACCACGTTTCATACCTTGGTGCTTTTTCCTGCCATTTCCATTTTCCTCTCTTGCTAGGAGCTGGCTATTTACTTGTCAAATAGAGGCTGTTACTTGTAGCAATCAGTTAGTAAAGGCAGTGAGAAAATTTCAGAGAGTACTCATCTGCCCCAGCAGACAGCTGCATACTTGAATAAAAATTTGGCCATGCCCCCATTGCTTTTTATTAAAAGAGAAATAATAGTATTTCCTTACTTCACAGTTGGTTTGTAGCAGATTGAATTTAGAACCATGAAAAGCAGAGACATAGAAAACAAGAGTACTGTCAACAAAATCTGCATCTAAATGTAAGCCTGACTATTCTTTTTACCTTTTTTTTTCATAAAGGTGATGGCTGACTCTTCTTTTTACCTTCTTTTCTTCATAAAGGTGATGAGCATGGTGTCTGGCTTTGGTCCTCTCATCACAGCTGGCATCTTTTCAGCTACTCTGTCATCAGCTCTAGCATCTCTTGTCAGCGCACCCAAAGTCTTCCAGGTAAAATTAAACTATCCATTTCCTTATACTCAGTTTTACTTCAAAGACACAAAATTTAGTTGAAGTCTATGTGCCAAATGTAATATATATTTAAACAACACTGACACCTGTGGGAGGAAAAGGCAGAGAAAACAGTATGTACAATGTTTTTCAACAGAAATAGGCAGGTTTCATCCTCATACAAGGGCAACAATATTCCTTTGGTCAGAGCTCAGCTTTGTTGCAGGAGTGGGGATACACACATGTCTGTTATAAATAGCTTGAAGGCTACAATAAGCTTTAACTATAAATATTTTGTGCAAAGCACCTGCCCAGCTTTCCAGAAGTTGTCTGGGCAGCAGCAATGTGGAAAGAGTGGGAGCAGAGGGCATGGGACAGAGAGATAACCTGTACAAATTACACCAAGCCACTGATTTGGGCTTCAATTTCCCCCAGTTTAGATTCCATTTAACTATTTAATTAATCTTTTCTTTTAAAGCACTGAATAAGCATTAAATGCCTGTATTTCTGTTTCCCACTATATAATAACGTAGTAGCACATTGTCTTATCACCTTATTTAAATGTTCACCTGCCATGGCATTGATGTATTTGAAGTACTAAGATATATCTAACTTGTTTAGGAAATGCCCAGCAAGCTGCCACTCACAGTGACTTCTGATGCAAGAAAGCACTGCTTAACAGAATTCTGTTCTGATTTCTTACCAGGCTCTTTGCAAGGACAATGTCTACAAAGGGCTCGAGTTCTTTGCCAAAGGATATGGAAAAAACAATGAGCCCATCAGGGGATATGTTCTCACTTTCGTGATCGCTATGGCATTCATTTTGATTGGTTTGTATAAAGTAACACAACTGCTATAATACCATGTTCTGAAATTATACAAACTGATATCTTGATACAATTATTAGCTATGGTTAGAAAAATTTCCAGTCAGGTAAGCTCTGACATAAACTCAGGCACACTCAAAGTCCTGGTAGTAGTTCCATTATTCTTAATGAAGGCAAAAGAACCCAACAGGGATTCTTGTGACATCTCAACACCACCACAGCCTCATTTTCAAAGATGCATTTTCAATTCCTGTTCACTCTGCTGGAAGAGGGCAGTGTTTAGAGCTATATCAAATAAGGCAAAGTCACAAGCTTTGAAAATGGTTTTTCAGTTTATATTGCACATAGCTCTGAGGTAGTCCTGAGACAATCAGGAAGCCTACTCTGCCCAAACCTTCCCAACAGTCAGGTCCAAAGTAAATCAGTTTGCCAGCACTTGTGGTAGAAAATCCCACCTACCATATTTAGGGGTGTGAGAATCTTTAAATCAGTTTTTCCAAGATTAGAAATTCAAACTGTCTGACACTAAGTAAATTGGATGTCTAGTAGAGATAATTCAGATTTCCATTTAAAAAGAAAAACAATAAGCTTTAACTATAAATATTTTGTGCAAAGCATCTGTCCTTTCAATTATGTATTTAAAATTCTTAACTTTACACCAGATCTACATTGTTAAGAGACAGCCTGTAGAATCACAGTATCAAATATAACCTTGCACAGCACATAATGTTATTAAAATCAGCATTAGCAGACATAATTCATATGAATGTACATATATCAAAGTGGCCTTCAATTAGTAAGACAGTAAAATACCCAAGCTCTCCCTGGATGACAAATTCAGAAAATGTTCAGATTTAACGCATCATTAGGAAAAAGCCAGCCAACAATCTAGGAACCTGGTGCCTAAGTCTGACTTGTGTCTATGTCTTGCAGCTGAACTGAATACCATTGCTCCCATCATTTCCAATTTCTTCCTGGCTTCCTACGCCCTGATTAACTTCTCCTGCTTTCATGCCTCATACGCAAAATCTCCAGGTGAGTCTGCATTCACCAGTGATTTAAATGTGGGCTTTCTGACCTCTGCAAGGTTTTTACTCTATGTCAGAGGAAATTGCAGCACATGTAAAATACACCTAGGCTATGTGATCTGATGTTTTACTGCTCTTATTGAATATGAAGACATTTTATTTATCTCCAAAAGATAAAAATAATGGCTCTAGTCCTTACAATCTCTACAGTTGTACAGGATGAAAAATACTTCAGGGGATCCCACTGGAGCAAAAAAAGCTCCTCCTAAGAGTGTTTTCCCCTCACTATCACAAAACATGGGTGGATAAAAGCCTATGCCAACTCTAGCCACATAAAGCAAGGTATAGTGGGGAGTAATCATGTCCTTCTCCTCCAAATCTACAGTGAAGTGTATGGGGAGGTTCATACAAACAGTAATTGCAGTAGAAGTGATCCTGGCTGGAGGGGAACATGTAGAGCAAGAGCAGGTCCCCCAGACAGCACCAGCACATCTCTGCAGTACCTGGAAGCAGAACTGTAAGGTGAAATGCAATGAGATCCTGTTCAGGGCTAACTCTCTATATTTGTGCAGCAAAGGAACATAGTGGCTTTCAGGCTTACGCATTGCCACAGCAGAGTGATTCTCACATCTTCATGAATGAAGGGGAGACACCTTCAGGACTAAAGCCAATCAGCTGAGCACCTCTGGGTTTGGCACATAGGAAAGACAATTTCCTGATGCTATGAATTAATTATTCAACTCAAGGAGCGAGGAATACATTTTTGATTTCCAGTGTGAAGAAACTGCAATTGCAACACAAATGTCAACATCAGCTTCCTTCCTATAGAGCTGCATAGTGCCATTTGTTCAGAGGGCAGAAAAGATGAGCACTTCTGCTAATTACCTGCACAGCTGAACAAATGCAGATATGCTCCACATGGCCTTGGAGCTGAGTAACAATTACCTCTATAGACTTCATCTGCCTGCATCTGACTCTACCACTACTTAACATTTCAGACAGAACTGCAGCCATTTTTCTTTTCTCATTTCCTCCAGTTAATTTCTGCCAATTCACAGTGATAGATTATAATAATTGCAAGGCTGCAGGACAGCAAATTTCTTCACAGCAGGTTCTTCCCATTCCCTCATTACAAAGATGATCCAAGACAGGATCTTGTGTCTTCTGTGTTTTTTCCCTCTCCAAAGAGTGTGCTCTGTAGAACACCTGGCAGAGACCTGCAAACCATGGAGGCTCACTGCTTGCCTCATCATTTTAATTGGTAGCAGGGGATGGATTCAGTGCTGCAGCTGAAGAGCAGCAGGAATAATATCTTTTTAAAGTCAATTGCAAATGGTTTTATTTTTCTGCAGTGAGGTCAGGAGATTTCCAATTTCAGACAGGTGCACTTACAGTATTGGGATAAACTCTCCTCTCAGCAAGTGTTCAGCTACCAATAATAAGTTCTGTGTATATGCATCAAAAGGACAGTCACCAATTACCTGGAGTTACAGGAAAATCTGTTTCTGATGTTCTGAAATGTTCTGAACCAGTAAACTTTAATTTGTGAAAAATACCTATAAACAGAATAGCTACTCAAAGCCATGCTGAGCAAAGCAGTAGGAAACAGCAGAAGGCTTGTAAGACCTATATTCTGTGCATGTTGAAACCTACAGCAGCCAACACTTAAAAGTATCTGTTGATGCAATGCCTGAGAATTTGCACATATCACTCCCACCCCTTCTGACAGAGCCTGAAACAAACTGCACATGGGTTTGTATAGACAAAAAACATGAATCACCATTTCATCCATATATTTTATGTTCTTCCAATTTTCTCAATTGTCTTTAAACAGGTTGGAGACCTGCATTCAGGTATTATAACATGTGGGTGTCACTTTTTGGAGCCCTGCTATGCTGTGGTGTGATGTTTGTCATCAACTGGTGGGCAGCTCTCATCACTTATGCCATTGAGCTCTTTCTATATATTTATGTAACATATAAGAAGCCAGGTAAGGCCAAATCCTGCTGTTATTCTGTGTATATGTTATACAGCCAGACTTGATTTTAAAGGAATTCATTCTGCTTACAGAATTAGCAATTACTTTTTCTCTGATATCTTTATTTAGAGGCAAGCCTGAAGCATCCCATTAAATTCCACTTTATATAATATAGATTAAGTTGATAATCTGGTGAATGTTTGCCTATTTAACAAGTACTTCAAGTATGGTTCAGGGCTTTCTGTAAACATTCCAGCAGACTGGTTTATTCCCATCACATCTTTATGACATTTGGGCTTTTACTTGAGTATCACTCATATTTTTTTTCCACCCACACACAAAACCTTACCTGAATTTTGCAGTGCTCCCAGCTGACTCATCCAGGGTCATCACTCAAAATTTAAACCTGCTGCCCATTATACAACAACAAAAATGTAATCTGAATTACTCCTGAACTGATCATCCTCCAGCACCTCCTTACAATCCCTCCATAAATCAAAAGAAGATGGGCACACTTTACTGCTGGAAAAAAACTACTTAGTAGCTCAGCAAATCACAGGAGGTGTCGTCAGAAATCTGTGTGCTAATACAGCCCCAGTATCAGACAAGACAGTCTGGTTATTCATATCCAGGACAAAACTAACCCAGGTCCAGGTTTCAGTGCTAACCACCTGAATTACTTCTGCAGTATAAAAAAAATAACACAAATAAAAGGGACAAGTTTCCCAGGAGAAGATGTGTCTTCACTGCAGCCAGCTGGGGACAGAAACACCTGGTCTGAGACTTATTCTTTTCTGTGTATTGCTGCACTGTTGTGTGTCCTCCCTGTCTGGGTTTTCATACCCATTGGGATGGCCTGTGGTTCTTTCCTGTAAATATATCATCAGGTGTAGGAGAACACACCTGTCACAAGGCACTTGTCAAAAACATTTACTCGCATGGGGTTTTTTTGCATCACACAAGCAAAACCTATTATTGAGAAGCACAAAGAACAATAGGTCTGTATCTATGAAGTATGAGAGAATATATCCTGCTTTTTTCACAGAGCACCTGATTGCTGACTTTTGCAACAGAGTGTAGGGAAAAGCCCATGGTTTAATACGCATTATTTATCTCTATTATATGCAGAAGTAAACTGGGGCTCCTCTACACAGGCTCTTTACTTTGTTAATGCCTTAGACAGTGCTCTGGCATTAACTACAGTGGAAGACCACGTGAAAAACTTCAGGTAAGATTTTCAGTGAACAGCAGAATGGCTTATCCTGGACATGTACATCAGCCAAACATATACAGCCTCTTTTCTTCCTAACAGACCTCAGTGCATAACACTAACAGGAGCTCCTATGATCAGGCCTGCTCTGCTGGACATCACACACACCTTCACCAAGAACAACGGGCTGTGTATCTGCTGTGAAGTGTTCACGGTAAGGTCAGCTCAGACAGAGCTGGAAACTCAGCCCCAGTGGGTGCTGCAGGTCTCCATTACACATCCCACTCTCACTCAGCACACAAAGTTCCTGTTGGTGCTGGTCTGTGTCTGTGCAGACCATGACAGAGACTCGCACTGAGAAGGAATTTTGTCATAATTCTTGACATGAAAGCCATCAGCTGATACGGAGCCTGCTGGTAAATGCCTCATTGAGATGCATTTCAGAGTTCATAGCAGATGGACCAAAAAATGGTTTGAAAAAAATAGAATATTACAAGGAAAGATTTTAGGCTTAGAAGACAGAAAAACCCCAAATCACACAACACATAAACTTTGAAGGATTATTGTGCAAAAGTCAAATTACCCAGGCTCCATTTTCGGCTTTGTCATTGATTTGCAGTGTTAGGGTTTGGCAAGTAATTCAGCTCCCTTTGCAGTGGTTCCTCCAAAACTGTTAGAGTGCTAATTCTGAGGATAAACATGCTCTTCTGAGACCTAAAGAGAGGAGAAAAGTAAATGTCTAGTTATAAATACACAGGAAATGATGTATCTTGGAAGATGAAGATCTAGTCTCTCATTAGGACAGAATAAAAATAGATAGGTTTGTAATGTACAGAGAAAACGTATTTTAAATATTACAATGACCTTTTAATTTTGAAAACAAAAAAAACCCCCGGCTCATGGCACCAAATGGGGATGCAGAATCTTGATAACAGAGTCATTTCAGGAAAGAGAACGTATTCCTCTACAAGAGTGTAGGAATAATTCATTTGATGCTGCCACATTGCAGAAACAGAGTACAGAAGATCCACACGTGATTCTTCTCAAATCAAATGAATCTATAGAGTGACTAGTCCCAGTTCTTCCCTACTATAATTATTGTTAGCTTTCCCATCACATGCAGTAAGTGTAGAATCAATCCCAACAAGATCCTGAAACTATGCAGCTTCCTAAAGCTGAGTCTCAGCAATGTTCCTGAATTATTAGACATGTTTCTCTATATCAGTACTTTCTAAGGAGAACTGAGATTTCATTCCTGTCCATACAAAAAACCCCTAAGTCTACTGTATTAGTGTAAGCATTGTAATTGTTTTGAGGGGAGGAGGTTTAAATTATTTCTTCGGAAACTTAAGTGAAATTTAATTTGCTTGGTAATAAAAATGTGACAAAATGAACCCTTCTGATTTGCAAAATTGTGGTAAAAAATGGACAATAAAATTCCTAGGAACCACATTGAAGAGCAGCCTACAATATATCATAAAATACAGCAAGACTATTCAGCCATAAATATAACACGCAGCATATTTTGCCTCAAAAGCTGACATGCTGTTAGCTATGCATGAAGTTTTGAGAAACCATGCCAGAGAGAGCATCTTCCACTCCTTTTTTCCAAAAAGCAGCAAGAAACTTTCCAGGAACACAGTGATAGATAGTTCAGACATAGGCAAAATAAATACAGCAACTGAATATAAAGACAATTTAAAGTTTACTTGTGTCTGAGGTTGTGGCTGCATGTTGGCTTGAACAGTCTGAGTTTCTAGTAAAAAGGGCTATCCTGCTTTTACTCCCTGCCTTCACATACAATATTTTTGCAAGGTTAGTCTTCAGTCTGCAAATTCACTGGGCTCCTTGTACAATTGTACAAACATTACCACTGGTACAGAGGAGGAGCAGGGGAGGACACACACAGGCTGTCCCCTGACAGAAGGGTGGGACTGGACCCCTGGCCAGCAGAAACATTGTGCAAGCCAGCTGCAAAACCACCTTCAGGTTCTCTCCTTAAAGAGATAGGGAAGAAGGGTAAAACTTGTTTTTCTCCCCCCTTACCCACAAGAAAACTTAAATCTTATTGTTCAAGTTATTATTCCCAGCTCTTCAAGCAGCCAAGATCAAACTCTCCTTAAGTTCCATCCATGTCATGTGATTCTAATATGCACATGGATTTTTGTCCCATTAAATTACCAGATGACCAGTGAAACAAACTGGTGTCAAAGGCATTTGCATCTTTAATTGTATTGCACAACTCTTTTCTCTTACTGTTGGTAGATAGGAGCTTAAACAAGTATATTTAGATCTGCTGAGACTCTTTTACGTAGTCAAGTCAGGGAGGGACTTTATTCACTCTGAGATGCTTTATCATACCTTAGATTTTTTTTAAGATGTTACAATCCATAGTAGTTCTTCTTTCTGTCAGAATCACTATATTTAAGTAGCATTAACAGCCTCAACCTCTCAAACAGAATGTGAATTATGTTAGCAGCACACTTCTTTTCAAAGGGCTGAATCTCTGTGGACCCTTTTTGGAAATGTATTTTTCTGGCTCTCCCGTTTGCTCACAGGTAACTGCTTCAAAATCACTGTGTGATGTACAACACAAAACTTTAATAATATTTTATTGTATCATGCAGGGCCCACGCAAGCTGTGTGTTAAGGAGATGAACAGTGGCATGGAAAAAAAGCAGGCCTGGCTCACAAAGAACAAAAGAAAAGCCTTTTATGCAGCAGTGGCAGCTGACAGCTTCAGAGATGGAGTCAAAAGTCTTCTTCAAGTAAGCTTTTTGTTTACAAAACACACAGAAGAGTGTTACATCAAAGCATCCCTTTATGTGAAGCATTACTGTTTACTTGTTAAGAAGCCCTGTGTATGTATGGATGGATAATGTTATAGACAGAAGGGGTATTCTGGGGGCAGAATGCAGAAGGGGCATAATATAAATGTATATTATATTACAGATTATTTCATAAAGATCTCGTTCTGGGCTATGGCATTATGAGACAAGGCAGACTGATTCTCTCCTAAATGAACAAGACACTTATGAAAAAAGAGAGGCATCTGCAGGGCAACATACGACTGTCTTTGCAGCTGACACTTGATACACTTCAAATCAATTCTATTGTTTGGTATTATGCAGCATATTAAATATATGAGAATGTTTCTGCATTAAATGAAAACTGAAAATGTGTAATATACATTTTCTGCAAACAGCAAGAAGGCCATTTAAATAAAAGTGTAATATTTTTCTATTACTCTAAGAATACAGCAGATCATTTCCAACAGTCCATTTAAAATGGCTTTAATGAAGGCACAGAGACACTGTTTCCATATTTCCCATCTCCCCCCCTTCACATATATGAATATTTAAACATACAGGTACTGAGGCAAAATGTAGAGAAAATTCACATCTTTTGCACAAAATACACTGCTGAAAAGACATCAGTGCAAACTGAGACAGTAGGGAACCAACTAAAATACTCTGGGTAACAGTCACCCACTGGCAGCCTACCAGGGCTCTTTGTACACTTGCTGAATGGACAGTACAATTGAGCAAGATGAAATGCTATTAATAAAGGTCCCTTTGTTCTATCAAAGCCTCACAAAGACACTTCATCTTGGGTTTATACATTGTCTCAGCAGGAGATCCCTCTGATGTTTTTGAGAACTGTTACAGTCTGATGATCTCTTCCTTTCCATTACTACTATTGCCAAAGTCAACTACTGGACCACAAATAATTCCCTTCCAACAAACAGAAGGAAAACCATATCATCACTATTGTAACCTAAAGTCATGTGCAACAATTATTGATTTCAATGTAAACAGTGCAAACCCACCAAGATTCCAACAGTTTTTACCTCTTTTCTGCTTGCTAATAGTAAAACTGGGCAAGTGTAACAACTTGACATGCTGGTATTTTTTGTGTCTCCTCCTGAAGGTTCCCAATACACTGAGTGTTTAGACTTCTATAAAAATTAAGTCAGCTGAATCTAGATCTGACTACTCCTACTTGTCCAGGTTTTAGCATCCAGAACCAGTTCTGGAGGCAATTTAATATTTTGACAAACCATTTCTTCTTCCTGTTTATAAACTATAATTTAACAGTAAATAGTAATGCTTCACATAAAAGGATACTTTGACATATCTATAAAGCATGCTCACCTGATTTTGGATAATCTTTTGAAAAGAATACAGCAAATGGAACAGCAACAGTTTCCAAATTCAAGGAAAAAAAATATTCTTAGGAGGCTACACCTTCTCTGTGTCTCTGAGGTGCTTTAAGAGACTTCAGACTCAGTTCATCTATGGAGTATTCCAAAGCTGATAAAAGCTTTATGCTATAATGTTAGAACGAGCATACAAACAGTTCTGAACTCTCTCTTGATTCCAAGTTATTGAACCATTTTAATGAGAGCATGTCAGAAGAAATGCAAATGAATGCTAATTTAGCAAAACTACATTTATGTCGTCTGAAATTATTTACAGTTGGAATGATTTAAAACTAATCTTTCTGATTTCTGCTTGGCTATGAGAATGAAGGGTATTTATGAAATGCAATCTAGTTGTAAGTGTCTGCAGAACATTACTTCAGTTATCTTTTGCCATTACTTTTCATTTACAGTTAAAAGCATGTGTGTGTGTGTACCTTTCTAAGCAGTGTTTTAATATTGTTAGGCCTCGGGCTTGGGTAGAATGAAACCAAATACCTTGGTGATTGGATTTAAGAAGGACTGGAGAAGTGCACCTGCCACACAAATTGAAAACTATGTGGGCATTATACAGTAAGTCAGCTCAGCACCTCCCTTTTCACTCCTCTTAGACTGGATTAACATAGCATTGCCATACAGAATTTGATGGGTAGAAACAATGTAAGTACCTACAAATCTAGGCTCACACATCCTACCTCTGTAACAGAAGTTACTGCCCATTATAAAAGGCTCCTTGGCTTCCCACACCCAGTAGGATCTGCCTGTCAAACATCTGCACTGTTGGAGCTGATGTGGCTTGACAGCGCTAAAGGAGCTGCTCTGCCTTCAGCAGGGCTTTTGCAGAGCTGTATTTTCCCATTTTTAGTGGGCAGGAGCTCAGAGAAAAACAACCATCATGTACGCACTTAGGGAATAAGAGAACATCATGGGATTCTTCTTTTAAGCCTAGGAGACAGAGGAAGAGCCTTGCTTCAAATCTCATGTGTGCCTAAGGCTCAGCAGCTCTGTGGGTTGGGATTTCACTGGGAAACAGTCATTTAGAAACAGGCTTCTCATAGATTTCTGCTCAAAATTCACCATAAGAGAGTTACAGAGCAACAAACCCCACTTCAGCTCTGTTATTTCCTCAGAGAAGGGAGAAAAAATTACCCAATTGCAACCTGGTTCCTAAAAAAGTGTTGTCTGAAAGATCCATTCCAGGAATAGCCTATCTGTTCCCATTTCCACTCATAAACTTCTTTTAAATAAGGGAAGAAAATTTATAGTACTTAGCTTAATCTTGGGCGATTCCTTCTGCAATTTTACCTAGCCTGTCCTCCCTGTGAACAGTAACACTCCCTCTGATCTTCTCAAAGTAGCTTTCCTCACTGACGTGCGTGACGCAAAAAGCATATTTATTCTTCTTTTTCTTTTTTTTCCAGTGATGCCTTTGATTTTGAGCTTGGGGTGATTATTGTCAGAATTAGCCAAGGATTTGATATCTCTCAGGTCCTTCAGGTTCAAGGTAAGACTCCACAGCTGAATATCTGTGCTGGTTACATGTACAGCACAAGAAGTACCCTTAAGAGTCACCACCTGCTTTCTAGGATAGCTCCTACACTCATGACTTCTACAGTTCCTCCTTGCTTCTGCAATTTAAGTCCTGCCCAAAATTCTTGCTGATCACTAGCAGTGACAGAAGGAGTTCAAGCCTAACACATTAAGGGGCTCTGCACTCCAGAGAACTCAACTCCCAAAGCAGTTCCAGCACAGGCACAGACTAAAGCAGTAAAAAAATCATGCTGTGCCACAGCAACCTGTCACTCTGCTGCACATTCCCCTCCTGGTCTTGACACATCTTCCTCCTTCTGCTTACCTGAGATCTCTGGGACTGGCAGGAATCAGGAAGCTGCACTTTTGGTACCACCTCTGCAGAACTCTGGGGCCCAGAAAGTTCCCACTCATGCAAAGATTTGGAACCCACAGGAAACATCAATTCTTCTTTACCTTTTTGTTCATTCTTCCTTAGGTTAGCAGTGCATATCTCAGGGGAAGTGGAAAACCATAGCATAACCTCACCTTGAGTCCTGTGTGCAGTTCTGGGCACCCCAATACAGAAAAAGACATTAAGCTATTAGAAAGCATCCAAAGGAGGGCCACAAGGATGGTGAAGGGTCTGGAGGGGAAGCTTTATGAGGAGTGGCTGGGGTCACTTAGTTCATTCAGCCTGGAGGAAGAGACCTCATTGTGGTCTTCAACATCCTTATGAGGGGAGAATTGGAGGAGCAGACACTGATGTCTTCTCTCTCGTGACCAATGATAGGACCCAAGGGAACAGCCTGAAGCTGAGTTGGGGAAAGTTTAGGCTGGACATCAGGAACAGGTTTTTCATCCAGAGGGTGGCTGGGCACTGGAACTGGCTTCCCAGGGAAGTCCCAGCACTAAGCCTCTCTGAGTTCAAGAAGTGTCTGGACAACATTCTCAGGCACATGCTGTGGTCCTTAGGGTGTCCTGCACAGGGCCAGGAGTTTGACTCAATGATCCTCATGTGTCCCTTCCAACTCAGCATATTCTATGATTCTATGAACCATTGGGGGATCCATGCCATCTGGGTGGAAAAGGCAGAGGGACACAGAGCAAGCAGACAGCTGCACCTAAACAAAGGGCTTCCAAAAGCCACATACACAATGGCAGCCTTCCTTTTGCTTCTTCCCCTTTAGCACACAGAGGTCTTATTTGTTCCTCAGGTATTCTGGGGAAGGGAACAGCTCCACATAAAATAACCCTCAGAACAATTCTCTCAAGGTGTTCAGTACGATAATTTCCCCCACATCTCACTCGCTCAGACAGCGCCGGGCTAACCCTGGCGGTCCCTCCCTGTCCCCGGTACCGGCAGAGCACGGTTCTCTGCTGCCGCCCGCCGCCAGCGCCGCGCACCGCGCCGGCTAATTACAGCCCAAATTAACACCCCAGCAGAGCGGGCAGCCCAGAGTGAGGTGAGGCTCAAAAGCAAATCACCTCCCCGAATGAAAAGGCGCCAGAGACTCCTTTCAAAAGCAAGGTAGATGAGCGCTCGCTCAGCAGACTGGCAGCTCGATGTGCACGGAGAGCCACGGGGACTTTGGGAAAAATTCTAAACTAATCAAGATTTCTTCGCCCCCTCGTGACACCTGAGAGAGATCTGCCTGTCTCTGCTTGATGCGAGTCAGAAACTGACTGCTCAAAACCTGCAGTCATTGGAACACCTGTGAAAATACAGCAAATACCAGCTCTGCGTTCTTACAAAGTAACAAATGTTCTTCAAGTGTTCAGACACAAGGAGTCAGGAATTAATTAGGATTGGGGCGGGGAGAAAAACCCTCAAATATCAAGAAATGTTTTGAAGTAGATACAAAGCCTCTGCAGTGGAAAACAAAGATCATTGTATTCTATTATACTTTATACAGCATTCTGTTCAATGGAGAAACTGAAATTTTAGTTTTGAGTCACCATTAAGTTTGTGACTATCACCATGTCTGACAATCAGAAGCACATGGTGTCATGGACTATAAAGTAAAAGAAAGGATATTCTTTCTGCTGGCAACTCAGAGTGTCAGCAGAGTTAATAATGTCCACCTAGTGAGAGTTTATTTTTTTAACACAATGTCTTAAATGAACTTTACAGGAACTTTACTTAAGTGAACATTTAGTTCATTATTACTCAAATAGAAGTTTTCCTTAAGAAAAAAGTTTTCTGCAGGCAAATGCCTGAACCACATTAATTAGTGCCTCATCATACTATATTCCACAATAACATGTGGTACCTTTTCCTCAGCATAAAGCTAATACTGGCAAGATGAAATTGTTCTTTTATATTACTAAATTTACTGGATTGGTTAGCTAAATCTTACATCTTTACAGCAAATGCTTAAAAATTAAAAATATTTCAGCATAGAAACTGATGGCATATTCAGGATCCTTAAATATTTCTGAGAATCTTGAAGTCCAAACCATGTGACTGTTCTTAGAAAAGGGACCCACAGGCTCAAACTCAATATCTGATCTTTCTCATTTTAGGAAAATAGCTTTTCTAATGTGTTTTCAAATTCTTGGCTAAAGAAACCAATCAAATATCCACTAACATAACTCAATATCTCATGTAACTATAAAATGTCATAATACTGAACTTGATCTGGAAGAGAAAACCTAAGAGCACTGTAACACACCCCACTGCTGTAGGCACAGGTACCCTAAGTTAGGGCTTCCACAGGTGAATTCAGCTTCCTCCTCCCTATTAGTTTGCAAAAAAGAAGCATTTTAGCTTTTCCTCCCAGCAGCTTCACATTGTCTACAAAGTACCATAAGAGCAATTACATCACCACCATTAGTTCAATAAGCGATTTAATTTAAAAAAGAAAGTGATGTGTTACCAGTTCATTTGCCTTTTCCAATATACAGAGGAATTAGAGAAGCTGGAGCAGGAGAGATTGGCACTGGAAGCCACCATTAAAGAAAATGATTTTGAAGAAGGAAAAAGAGGCATCTGTGGATTCTTCAAAAAAGCCAGCACACTCAATATCTCAAAACATGAAACAAAAAAGGGTAAGTTCCAAAATGACAGCTCCTTCCTGACCCTGCAATACACCCTGCTTTCACCAATATACAAACTGGACTTTACTCCAAGCCAAAAGCTCCTGAGCCACACAGAAGCCCCTGGAAAAGGACCTCCCCTGTACAAACCTGTCATGGTGGCTACAACCCTGTAATGCAGCACAGAGTGACATCCTCTGCTTGTAGGATACACTACCTCGTAAAACACAACCAATTTCCTCCCCTCATTTGCTAGATAAACTTCTCAGCTCAGCTAATGTTCAATTCTATTTGTCAAAAATAGAATATGGTTGGTTGACGAACACAGAACAAGTTGGTTTGGGGATTTTTTGGTTGTTTGGGTTTTTTTAATAGGCTGTTTTCAGTTTTTAAACAGAGGCCTTTCTTCCTCCTCTTTAAAGAAAATAGGAACATATTCCCAATATTCAGGGAAAAAGCAATCTTACTTTACTTAAAACACACACACAAACTCGGTACAGAGCTGAAAAACAGGTAAAAACAGCACAACTGCTCTATATTCTAAGCATAATTTCATAAAAATGCACAAGTGAAGGTGGTAAAAGTACTGGAAGTACATACACAGCATGCTGTCAAATAACTAATTAACACATAACTTAAATGTGTAGGTGATGAAATCAAAATTACATTTCAGATATAGTAAAATGATACAGAAATACAGCCAGAATTTAAGGTCTCATTTCACAACTGCTAGGCTGTAATGGTAATGACCCACCTGAAGCCATGCTTGTTCACAGACATGTATTTTCAGAATTTTCACCTGCAGAGACTATTACATCTGGCTGTGCATGCAACTCCCACAGGTATCAGGAAGATCTACAGACTGAAAACATAAAATGTCATTATTCGTTAGTTGGCAGACTTCAGTTCATTTTGCAGGCTTCAGTAAAATATATTTTTATGACAATTCCAACAAGAGTGTGCACCTCTGTTTCAACTACCCTTTTTGATTTAGTTGAGAAAGGCATAAAGGAAATACATATTGCACACTCTGGCTCTCTATATGAGATAGATTATGATAATAAATATCCCTGCCTCTCTCTTTTGCTTTTATATTCATAGTCCCCGGAGTTGTTGCATCTTCCAGCAGAAATGCTAGAACTGCTTTAGAACTATCCTGTGCACACTCCAGAAATACAAGAAAACCAAACAAAGCATTTTCAGAACTAGCAGATCAGAGTAAAACCTCTGAAGAAGCCTGTCTGCTCCATTTAAAATACTGCTCTGACACCATCTCTTTGAAATCATTGAAAGAGGAGCAGTAATAAAGTCACAGGCTTCAAAAGATGGAATGAGAGAAGACATTGTTAGTGCATAATCAAAACTATAACTTTTGAAGCCAACCAAGCAAACAGAAAGGACCAGAATGTATTTTCAATTAACAAGGACCAGCCCAGCCCAGGGAAGCAGCCATATAGGTTTGTGTTTCCTGCCTTCCAGCCTCAGCTTCACCTGTGCTCCCGCTGCATCCTCATTTCGTCCACCATCGCTGTGCCTTCCAGGGAGCTCTGTGTTTTACAAGACAGCTGAGATTGTAAATGAGGCAAAATAACACATTTACTTCTAAAATCTATCAGATATTTCCCACTCACTTTTTAAAGCCCCAGAGAATTTTACATTACGTAAAAAGAGACAGAGAACAAATAATCAGATAACCCTTTTCAAGGTGCTATAACCTAGTGACAATGTATCCCACAAGCTTTGGTTTCTGTGAGTATTGGCACATTAAAACACATAGCATCCACTCTGTAATTTTTTTTCAGATTTAAAGTATAAAAATTATGTCAGAAACAGTTCATTTTCTTGAAGCTTTCTCCCCGTTTGGCTCCCTAAAGGTACTCGTATCCTCGCTTGTCAGACATCCTTTCACATTTTTTCTTTCTCACTGCAGAGAGCACCATTAACACCATGCAGTCAATGCACGTGGGTGAATTCAATCAGAAGCTGCTAGAAGCCAGCACTCAATTTAAAAAGAAGCAAGGAAAAGGTACAATTGACATTTGGTGGCTGTTCGATGATGGAGGTAAGGAATTTGAGTAAGAACCACAGGGAGAGAGATTTCTGTGTTACCAAATATAAAAACAGGCTTGGGAATTCACATTAAACCGTTTTCTTTTAAGATCACATATTCAATTTTATGTCTGGATTAAATGTTTTAAAATTAACTTACATCTAATGCTGCTGAAGTGAAGGATGGAATTTTTAGCACACAATGCACTAATCTGATCTTCCTGTAATTTTCTATGTTCTTCCAGGTCTAACAATCCTAATTCCTTACATCCTAACTATCAGGAAGAAGTGGAAAAATTGTAAATTAAGGATCTTCACTGGAGGAAAAGTCAACAGGATTGAAGAAGAAAAACTAGTGTAAATATAATTTTATTTATCTCACTGTTCAGTGTTTGAATGATGCTGAATATAATGCATATACAGCAGGAAGCTGGGAATTTTCCAGCACAACCGGTTTGTTGTACTGTGGGCAGCAGGAAAAAAAAAAAAGATGTACTTGACAGAAAGGTGTTGAGCTTATGGCATAGCCCTCAAGGCTCTGCAAATGGTCATTACCAAAGGAAACTCACATCCAGCACTTTTTCCCATTAATAGCTCATATTCCCTTCCCTAAGAAGAACAGTCTGCACTTCGTAATGAGAATATAATTACTTTTATGGGATTTACATGAGATTGTCCAGTTAACAGCAAGTGAAATTGCACATGAAACTCTCATATGCAATACCAGAGATAGATAGCTCACATAAATGTGATTAACTGTGGCAAAAAGTAAAGAAGTTAAAGAGCAAGTTAATCAACTTTAAGATCAAGTTGATTTTACTCAGCTTTTTAAAACAAGTCTAGATTTCATAATCATCATTTGCCTTCAAGCAAATGAAAGGTACTAATATTAACTTATTTTTATCATCACTGTATACAGCACCTTTCCTTCCAAAGCACTTTACACACTAGAGGCACAACTATTTCACCACTGGTGGAAGCAGCTCAATTTGGGATGAAAATCAGCAACTGCTTAACAAAGAGCAGTTAAAAACAACATCAGTCAAGTTCAATTTCAGCCAATTCAGAAGTTAAATTTAGCTGGACTTTTACTAGCATGTAATTCCCCAAATATTAAAACCTCTCCACAGAAGTTGAGACTTTTCTCTTTTTCCTGTTCAAAACAAGGATTGCCCCAAGGGACGTCAAGATTTATAGAAGCAGTATGTTCTTCTCATATATATAAAAAAAGAATGAGTAAACTCTCAGGTCATAAACAAATATGTACTTCTACCATGGTTTGCTCCTAGGAACTCTCTGACCTTTTCAAATTCCAAAGCTTACATACCAAAAAAAAAAAAAAAAAAGAAGGGGAAGGAGGTGTGGGGAAGAACCACAAGACCCCAACTGTGCTTCAAACAAAGGCAAAACTGACCTAAGCAAACCTCTGTAACCTCAGCACAAACACACACAAAGCTATAAACTATTCCTTCTGCCAACCAAGGCTCAAAAGTAAAGTATTTTCTTTTACGAAAATGTGCAAAAGAACATGTGAGTAGATCACTATAAATTCCTAAATGAAAAAGACTCTTTAAGTATTGTACACTAACTTTCTGGACCAGATTTTCACCAACACATGCACTACCAGTGTTGTACACCCTCCATGCATAGAATTCTGATAATAACAGAATAACAGAAGGCTTCTGTAAGAATTGGAGGATTCTGCCCTACTGCATTTTGAATATTCTTCCTTTATAACTCAAGCCTTAGGATATACTTAAAGTACCATTTTTTCCCCAAAATGTAAACACCCTGCCCTCTGTCTGCTATTAATTTCCAGTTTTTGTGATTTTCATCGATCATCAGTTAAATGAATTATACTACAGCAATCACATTAATCCAGTTCTGTAATTGCAAATTGAAACACTAAAAGCATTTAAAGTAATTTGTCATATAGTTAAAGATAAGATATCAAATGCAGTTGTCTAATTCATTTATGAGTGTTCTTTGATACAAGGCACTCAGAAGCACAGTGATAAAACATTTCTCTTTTGTTTTCAGGATGGCTTCACTCCTAAGCAAATTCAGAATAAAATTTGCTGATATTAATATCATTTGTGATATCAATATAAAGCCCAACAAAGAGAGGTAAGAAACATTAACAAAATCCATTATTTAGCAGTCAGCCTTTATCTGGAGCTTGTTTTTTTTATGTTGAGCATTAAAAACAAAAAACCAAAACACACCACAGAGAACAACGCTGTCACTTTATCACAAGAATTTTCTAAGTACCAAGAGCAGGAAAAAGAAAAGAACCTTTTAACAATCACAATTCAAAGAGTCAAAACCATAGGCAGCCTTTTTCTTTATGTTGTAATTATAAGAATTTTAATAAAGACTAATTAGACAGCATACTTATGAGCCACTAAATTTAACAGGCATTTTATGATGGCTTTTCATATCTATTTAGCTTGCAATAGACTTCAGTCATAGTTCTTCTGTAAACTGACCATCTATGTCAACTCAGCCTTCTGGGTTTTATAATGAATTCATAATATTTTTCTGGCCAAACATAAGTATATTTCCTCTTTCCCATGAGGACAACATTATAACACTCCCCTATCACTCAAATATAATGAAGGTTCAATTTTTTTAAAAATTAACTTATCTCAGGTAAAGGTTAGGAAGTTGGTAAAACAGTGCTCAAGGAGCTCCACCTCCAACTGTGTCAGGTAAAAAAAATAAATCTTAAAGTCCTTCCTTTCTAAAACATATTTCCATAAAAATCATCTATGTAGACATCTGCTAATGTAGACAAAAGTCTACAGCAGGTTGCTCATGAAATAACTGAATCCTAAACTCAATTCACAGTATTGCTCTTGGTCCACTGAAAATGTGCTCACCTTGCTATGCTCTCTTCCATCCCCTCCCTTACTCCACCCAAAGCCCTTCCTCTGAATTCAAGTGCAATCCCAGGTTAGTTTCTCAGTCCTTCTGTGTCCTGTTTTTACACAAACAAATAACTTTGCAAAAACAATATTAGATTCACCAGTGTTTCTATGGTTCGTTGGAGATTTTCACTTAAGAAATGAAACTAAAGAATATGAAGATTTTATTACTAGATACCTAAAGTCACCTTTTATTGCCCTCTTGATCTCTGAAGTAATATTTTTTCATTATATAAAGAACTGTGCAGAATACTTCTTTTTTTCCTCCAATACAACACAGTGATTTCACATAAATAAAAGTCAGCAAAGGGAATTCATATCTGGCATTAACATAAAACACACACACACACATGTGCTGCATCAGCAGTATCTCAACAGAACAAGTGAATATTATGCCAGACACTTGCTAGACCACCGTATCTCTCTTCCAGCTGGCATCCCACTTATTTCATTAATAATAAGAGAACTATCACTATTTTACATACTGAAACAGAGAGTAAGGATGTTGACAAACTGACAACTTAGCAACAGCCACACTAAATGCTGCATGTCAAAGTCTTTAACCCACCTCATGACTTCCTGGCCATAAAGTCCAGCCTGTGCCCAGTCTCCCATTTCACTTCCTAGTGAGGTCTGTCAGCACAAAGTGCTCAGAGAAAGACACTCACACTGACACAAGAGAAACTCCCTCAGGTCTCTGTGGGATTATAAAAAACTTTCAACAATGCAGCAAGCAAGGAAGTTTCTCCAGATGATGACAGTCAAAAGCTTAAAAAAAAAATGAAATTCACAGAGAAAGTCTGTGGAGAAGTGGGGAAGTTGGGAAATGAACACAAATCTGAGCCCCCATATAGCAAAAAACCTACAGCATTTCTTTCAGCCCCTCACCATAGGAAATTTATATCACCTGTTTATCCATTTCATTAAAATGCTCAGTAAAACTGTATCAGTCAAGTGATTGGTCTTGCTAGAGCTAAAACAGTAATAAAACCTTATATTTATTATGAGAAACCATATTCATTGTTAATATTACTAACTAATAGTTAGTAATTAGTAACCAGTTTGGAGTTATTGTAGAAGTAATTTTTGTTAGAACCAGGAAAATGCTGAAAATTCTCTGCCAAATGCAGTGTTTAATTATCCTCAAATAACCTTTTAATTATCCTCAAATAACCCAAACATACTGAAGTGGCACAGATATAACTTGGGGCACAATGTAACAAACAATAGTTAAAGATTTTGCAAGTTTTTCAGCTGCAGTTATCATCAGCAAGGCCTGTCGTACACAGTGACTGTGAAATAAGTTAGTGAGTTCATACCCTGCAGCAAGGCCTCCTTTGTAATTCCTGTTTCAGCTGGAAATTCTTTGAAGAGATGATTGAACCATATCGTCTCCATGAAAGCTGCAAAGATATAACAACTGCTGAGAAATTAAAGCGAGAGACTCCATGGAAAATTACAGATGCAGAGCTGGAAGCATTCAAGGAGAAGGTAAAGCCTTGCCTACCTTTTTACATATGTAGCTTTTCTTACACTCCAGATGTTTGAAGCGATTAGTAAGAAAATGTGAAATACCAGATATGGAATGAGAAACATGACATGTACAAACCTGTATTTGATATTTACAAATTGGATTTATATTGTAAACACTGCAGAGGTGTGTTATGATTGCATTATTCAGCACTCTAAGACCTTGGCAGGTTTACACAGTATTTTCCAGGCTGATGAGAAGCTCTGCCCACATCAGAGCCAGCCAGATGAAAACCCACTGTGAACAAGAAGCCACATAGTGCTGCACTGAGCCTGAGCTAATCGGATCTGCTGAGAGCTTTATTAAATGGCTCCACTGTTTTAGAGCTTGAACCTCTCAAAGACTGCAGTTCCAAACATTCACCACTTTGGGAAACGCAGGACTGAATCCAGACACCACAACTAACTCTAGAAATTTCTCCAAAGGCAAGATTTAACATGGATTCTTTCCTCAACGGCAGTGTGCAGACTAAACCTGTCCACAGCACAGGAGCTCTCCTGCAGTTCACAGGCACTTAAGGCTGATGTTGGCTGACCCACTGCGTAAATTAGAGTCTAGGCTGCTCTTTAATTTACTGGAAAATACCTTTTTAGCAAGGGACTGCCAGGCTTCATCAGGCCAGTACCAAAAGGACACTGCAAACTCTTTCACTCTTAAGAGTGTAACTCACAGAGAATTAATCTAGCAATTTTATTTATGGTTCCTATTGGATTAACCCGAGTGCACTGAGAGTTATCTCTACTTTATGACACTAGTAACTTCCTCAGCAGAGCAAGGATTGTGACTCTGAGCTCAGAGCTGCTAGAAGTCACAGCCTGACATACTAACATAATCAGAAATCAATGGTGATTTAAGATAACACACTACACTACCAACTGCAGCAGCTGGGAAGCGGCCTGGCTGCTCACTGTGTTACCCTTTTCCTGGAGCTGATAACCAGCATAAGGTTATGGGAGTCAGCTGTGGGCAGAAAACCTTAGAATTACTCTCAGCTTCAACCATCAAAAATTGAGAGTCAGAGCCCTTAAAACATCTCAGTATAAAAGACAATGGGAATATAATCACAAATATTCTACACACTTGTGTGCAGAACCAGGATACAAGAGAAAGAAAATAAATTATTAAGCTTGGTCACTAACTAAAGAACCAGAAAAATACCCTCTAGGTTGAAAAGTCAGCAACATGAAATGTCAAGTTGCTCTATAAAACAAGAACAGCAACAAAAATTTTAGCTTACACACCTGAAAAGACCTGCCCCTTATCTTTAAAAGTAAGGCAGTTCTGGAAATTTCACAGAGGACATTAGAACACATTTAAAATTCAATAGAGAAAAACCTGGCAGCACAGATAAAGGGTGATATTATAGGATGACTCTCATGAGATAACAGCTGGCTAAATTATGAGGATTCTTAGCTATACAACATGTAAAAGAACAGTAAGAATTTCTGTAGAGGAAGAAATGTTAAGGTGTGAACAGAAAAAAATCCAGCTTTTTACTTTCTCCAGGGAAAGAGAAAATAATTTACAAGACTAGTTAAGACACATCTATCTTACACAAACCTGCCCTGGTCTCTTGTTCCCTATGACTCGTGTTAAGTTATAAAAACTTTGGGGGCCTGAGCCTGGCCTGATAAAGGCTCAATATCAAAGTAACAATCATTTACAAACCATGTCAGTACAAAAATAACCCCTATTCCCCAGGAAACCTTACACAAGGGTGAACAACTCTGGCCCCAACATAACTACACTAATCAAGAAGCATGGCTTGGCCTCATGTTTTGCCATCTCTCTGAGTCTGGACCACAGAGCATACCACAGGGCCAACATTGCCAAAGCAACAGCAGAAAATCTTCCTGCAAGGGGCAGTGTAGAAGTCCACGAGGCACCAGAACTGAGGATCACTGACTTCACTGATCTTTTTCTTCTCCCCTGTTTCAGAGTTACCGCCAGGTCCGTCTGAATGAACTCTTACAGGAGCATTCCAGAGCAGCCAACATCATTGTCCTGTGAGTGCCAAGATTTTGGTTCTAACTTTGAGAATAGTGTGTAAAGGGATTCTGGACTGGAGCAACAGAAACCCTTGAGTTATTTCATTGAGCACAAAACCAATCTTTCGAGTACCTTCTGAAGGACTTGCATCTGGACTGATAATTCTCTGGGACTACACTGAATATGAATCTTTCCTGGTCGCTTAAAAGAAATCCCTACTCATGAAAAACCTGTCAAAAATGTAATCTTCACATCCAATCTGCATGTTGAGTGTTACATCTGCTTGCCTGCCTGCAGAAAATACACATTTTTCCTTTCTTTTCTCCCAACTATTACAAACTCAAAGTTAGAAAAAGGATTCTTTTGGTTTGCATGTAAAAAATAGGGTTGTTAGCCAAGATCTACTTGAAACTTGAGTTAGGATGATGCAATTATATAAAGGAAAAGAGGCCACCAATAAAATTACCAAAAAAGCAAGCCATTTCGAGAATGAATTTTTAGTTAGAGCCACATTTTTTATAAATTAGCTTGCACCTGTGATGTGCAGATAAACCTCTTCAGCTCTATTAATTCAGTCTCCAAAAAGAGGGTGATCACGTTACCATAAACTGACCCACACTTTAAAACTCCCATCTCACAGTAATTACAGATCAGAAAATAGGCTGATGGACTGCAAAACTGTTCATGCACTGTATTTTTTATCCTTTAAAAAAATTATATTATGTGTGGGCTTTATGAAAATATTCTTTACCAGTTTAAGGTTACAATCACAAACAGTTCGTGTCCAGTACAACCAGGTGAGCAAGAGTTTGCAAATTAAGGCCTGATGGTAGTTTTGTACTTGATGATATTAAAACAATCATGTGGTCTTATTATATCAGAGTTGTAAATGAACAGTTAAGTTTTCTACTTAATATTGAGTGAGAAGCATTTTACCTGAGCTACCCCTGCCTTCATAATGATAACTTTATTTTTCCCTCTGCCTAAACAGGAGCCTCCCTGTGGCAAGAAAAGGAGCAGTGTCTGATTACCTGTATTTGGCTTGGCTAGAAATTCTCTCCAAGAACCTTCCTCCAGTCCTAATGGTCAGAGGCAACCACAAAAATGTACTGACTTTCTATTCTTAGGAAAACATCAGTGCCTAGAATACGCCTTGCTTGTTTTCAACATCCACATTTCTAATGGCAGTGATGCATTAAAGACACATTTACCTAACACAAACCTAAAAGGCAAATAATTGACAGAAAATTTTTCAAAAATCCAAAGCAACACAGCAAAGAATTAGACAAAAAATGTAAATGGTCCCTGCTGGTTTTACACTCCAGTACAGGCAAAAGAAGGAAAATCTACCTATATATTATATGAGTTGGCAAATATTTGAATATACAAAGAAGAAATTCCTCTGATTTTATAGAGTATTGAAAATTATTTGATATTAATCCTAGAAAGCCAAAATTAACTTCTACAATACAAAATGCATTAAATCTATAAATAAATACTTCTTTCCAATTGCACTATCATAGTTGCTAATAGGCACAAAATAGGATTAAAATGAAATGCACCAACTTGTGAGAGAGAATAAAACCTGTATGGCATCCATCAGGGCAAAGCCATAAACTAACAGAATGCAAGTAGAATACTTGCAATGCTGTTTGATTGTAATATTGCCAAATTAGGACCTATTTCTACAGCAGATGGTTTTACTTAAATTGTTCTGCTAATTTATATTAACTGTAACACTTCTAATTAACTGACAAACAACAACCTCACCTTTATAAAAATATGGACTCTACATGACATGACTTGATATTGAATTTTCAGGCTCTGACATGGAATACAATGTCTGATTGCAATAATCAAATGTGGTAGGCAAATTTCACAAAGAAATTAGTAAAATCATAAATATTCTAACAATATTTGCTAGGAATGTTAGGGTTAATACAATCTGACATTATACTTTGGGATAACATGTACAGTGATTTATGTGATTAGAAAATAACAAAAACCCATTAACTGAGTTGAATGCCTTATTTTTTGATTTATATAAAAGATTTATCTTATTTTTGACTTTCTAAATAATATTCATTATACACTAACTTAAAATAAAGGAAATCCATTAAGTTGTGTAATTTTTTATTTTCTATTCTGCAACATTATGGTACTTTATAATTTCAGCTGCCAAGAAAAGCAGATTCTCTTTTTAATGGGGAAACCTATATTCTCTATGTAAGCATTATTTAAATTAAAGACCACCAAGGAACATGGTTAATTTATTTTCTGTAGTTCTGCAAATCCTTGACAGAGATTAACTGACATCTAAACCTCATGAAAGCCAGGGAACCCTGAATTTCACTAAATGTATATTTTAAAGCAGCCTCAGCTTCCATCTTGCTTGAATTATTAGAATTTAACTTGGGGGAAGATCTAGCACTGCATCTCCAAAAACGACAAATATTTGATATTCATATTTTTCTGAGTTCAACAGCAGCAATTCAGCAGAACATGGTAATGTAGCCCAGTAATCCATGCTTTATTTTCTCCATCTATTAAAGGCAGGATATGAAATACTGATATTTTCTCATAATGTTCTTCCTTCGCTCCTTCTTACACATTTACAACCAAGCTGAAGGATCATTTTGCAGTTTAAGTGCATTACACAGATATATGAGTTTCCTCCATACACCAGACTTCCTGCACAGCTCTGAGCAAACCAAAGCTCTCATTCTGCACCTGCAAAAAAGGAGATTATTCTCATCCCTCACAGTGACGTTGGCAGTGATACTGCAGCTTCTTACATGCTCTCAGGTCCTTCCAGCTTTGTAGAATTGCAATGGCCACCATCCTTTTCCTCTCACTTCAGACACCACACAGGTGTAATCTGCATGTGGCACCCAGGCAATGCAAAGAAAAGAACTTTTAGGGAGGCTCCACTTAGGCCTTTTGTGTCTTTCTTACCACGGTCTATGAAAGGACCTGGAGGAATCACACACCTCTATTAAGCCATTTAATTATGTACACGAGAGGGGATTGTTTCCTAAGTATTCCCAAGTACTGCCATTCTCAATCTACAGGGAACATTGACCTAAACTGTTTTGGGGGACCCAAGCAGATCCAAAAAGAGAATGAGCACAAAATAAACCAGCAATGGCACTTCCAATACTATTCATACTTTTCTCTCACAAACACAGTGATGTGGGGATTGCAACAATAAATCCCAAGAGGTACTTTTCTAAGTGAACAGTCATCAAAAACTAAGTACTAACATAAACATTCCTCTGAAATTCCTTGCTTGACCTACAGTGATTAATTATAAGATGTATCCACACAACAGTGTTATGGGATTTATAATGAGTAGCACAAACTGTGAATGCAACAGTTCTTAACTACCTGAAAGTATTATTTCCACAAATTCACAAGTAATTTAAACACAGCAGCATTTCTTGTTCCTCACTATGATTCCTGAAGTGTGTGCATGACCAATTTGGAGAGTACACTAATTATGGACTATCTTAAATTGCAACTTTGATTGCAAAATTTTGTTAGTCCACCTACCTCATTTCTCACTCTGTAACCAACACTTCTATAAATTACGCATAAAACAAGTGCTGAATTTTAATCATCATGTTAGTAACTAAATTCTAATTACACATTTGACATCTCTAGAAAACATACAGCTCTAATGCTGTCTAGTACATTTTGAGCTTATATCACACTACCAGCTCTGTGGGTTTATATAATTTAGGGTTGACTTGATCAGCCATGACAAAAGCAAGCATAGATAAGGTGACCAGGGACATTAAAGTGTGAAAATACTGTTGCTATGAAGCAAGAACAAAGAATATTTTTAATTTTCTTCAAAAGTCCAGGCATCCTGCACAGTTAAGGGCCTGTTGAAGTGATCCACTATTGTCTCTCTCATCAGTGAATCTTACCTTTCCCTCCTAACGTCAGTGGAGCTCTGACAGGTATCACAGAAGGCATTTCATCACAGTTCAGAGACTATGCTTTCCTTAAATCTTTTTACAACCACTGGTAAACTGTTCAGCTTGATCACATAACCCCTAGAGCATAGTCCAGATTATGCTGTCCAGAACATCATTCTTCCAATGTGCCTTTCACTAGATTTTTCAGTCCCCAACACAGATTACTTTTGTGGGGGTGTTTATTTAATTTTAAATCAGCTACTCAACAGTGCAAGCAGAAAAGTTTTCTAACCAAAAAGACACTCACTGTGAAGACAAACTGCAGCTATGCAAGTCACACTGCAAAGAACATGCTGCTATCACACTTCACACACAAAGAAGTTCCCACTTAATCATCATAATCACAAGGTACAAAGCTCCAGCCACATGCACAGTAATTTTCACCAGCCTTAAACCTCTGCAATTTTCATTACATCTTTGAAGAGTCCTATCAAAAGCCTTCCTGGATAGACAAAATATAACAGGCTGCCCTTAATTCTCAGAAAACCTGGACATTCATCATCTTTTCCCTCTTCTTCTATGATTCCATGTGGTATTTCAAGATCCTCACGGCAAAAGCAGTTTCAGCAACTGATGAGCAGTTTACAAGCAAGAGATATGGCAACAGGTAACGGGAATTAGCACTGAAGTTGTAGACGAGGGCAAACAGCTGCAGAGTTTTAGCTATAACTGACTGATTTAACTCCCCTCACCTGTTTGTCACCTCCCCTCAGGTAGAGGTCCCTGACTTATCAGCAAAGCTGGGAGAACAGAATCTGAGTGACCCTTTCCAGCTTGAAGTTCAGGGGTCTCCCTCAGGCTTCTGCTTCTGGTTGTTTGGCTGCCACTGGACTACAATGAAGTGAGTGTGGATCACTCCACACTCTTGTTACCTCTTGCTCTCTCTCCCTTGCTACCTCTTTGCAACTTTTGGCAGAAGGTCGGTGAACCCTTGAAGTGCTGCAGCTCTTTGCTAAATGAGTTATAGATGAGGAAGTCAAGGTTTTGTCACAATGTGCCTCAGCAGACATCAGGCCACCGTTTCAGACACGTGTTGATGCTGGTGCCTGGCTGACCCAGCCCCTGGCAGCTGTGTGACCCATCATGACTGTGTGGCCAGCGCTGCTGAGGGAACATCTCACACCGGCCTTGACTCTGCAAAGCAAAATGGAAACAGCAAACAGATACAGGGAGCTGTAGTTCACATTCTCCACAAATAACAAGAGCAACAGCCCACAGTCGAGCTGCTGCTGGAATTTCATCAGAGGAAATTCAGTTTCAAACAAAATAAAACGCCAAGGTTGTCTGGAATGCAGTAAAAAGCAATGGCAAAATTCCACAGCCCCCACACTGTACAGCAAAACACGCAATCAAAAATAGAGCTTCACTGTAAACACACTCATCATAACAGCCTTTAAAATTACAAACCTTAATCAGTGGGAGAGAGACAGCTGTTCTAAGTGAGAGTGGGCTGGGAAACACCTCACTTAAAGCAATAGTTTTCTCCTAATAAAAATGCTCATTTTAACACCAAAACTTCATCGGAGAGAATTTTTTTTATTAGCTCTGAAAGAAGCTCTGTGTTTCTTTCTGTGGACAATAAAGCAGCCTCCACTGCTGCTCTCAATCAAGATAAAAAGGTAAATAATTCCAGTTTATTTCAGCTTTATCTTCCAAAGTCAGGAAGAAATGCCCAACGCAGAGCAGGACTAATCAGCAACCAAGAATGCAGGAAGGTTGGCCAACTGACTATCTACAGAGCAAGCAACACGCTCCCAGGACCAAGGCAAACTTGCCCAGACTCCAAGCATTCGTTTTTTGTTTTTTTTTTCTTGTAAAGACGTGGGGCAAAAAAGTGTCGCTCAGCCGAGACCTTTCTCCTTAATAATATTTTTGGATGAGTCCTCCTATCTATTATTCAAGGACTTCCAGGCTACCTTAAGCACAGTTTAGAACCCAGTCTGCCTCATCAAGCCTGGCCATTCATAAAATTTTTCTACACTATAATGCAGGATGCGGTTGTAACTTCTATAAAGTTCTGCTTATATTAAAAAAAAAATTCATAATTAGATATTCACTTGATACAATTCAATTCTTATACACTTCAATTTGCGGATGGCTTACATCAGAAGCCATATTTTAAGTAGTGTTTTCACACAGATCTGTGATACATATGCATTCTCATTCAAACACCTCATATTATTTAGACTGAAAATACTGAACAGAAATAAACGGAAGCACAAACTGGGACATGCTTCAAAATATTTTTTTGTAACTGAACTGCATAGCAAAGGTTTCACTGCCATCTGGCTGCACTTAAAAAATGTAACATAGCAAGGAGACAATCAGATACACTTAGATCTCAATTTTTTTTTAAAAAAATCCACAAATAAAAGTTGACAAAATTTAGACTAGCAAAGAGAACTCCAACTCTCTGCAGCTACTTTGCAGAGAGACAAATACCTCCACCACACTTGTCAGGGACAGCTTTGAAACTACGAATCCAGTGGATAAGAGTCTTAGCCCACAGCACACAGAGCTATGGGGGAATTTAGGGAATTCCCTAGTCCTATATAATATATATACATCCTACAGCTATAGATATAAACGTAGGAAAAATAGAAGGGTAAAGTACAACATAGATGGGATAGCAAAAGAGGCAGTGAGTAGGAACATCAAAGACCGTGAAATCACGAGTCTTCTACAACGACAAAAGAACAAGAACAAGAATAGAACAAAAGGACGGGCCGAGCATTGATAGGTTTTCCTATCTACAGCACCGACAAGGGTTGTTTCCCTTTCATAAGGTAAACGCTTCTCTCGTGGCCTGACCATTCCTGAAGGAGGAGCCTCCTTCTCCCTCTATCCTGTGCAACCTGCTCTAAGTGAATCTGCTTTAAGAGTAGGATTAGACTGGATGATCTCGAGATGCCCCTTCCAGGCCCGACCGCCCCGTGGCCCAGGCGCTGTGTCCCCGCCGGGGGTCGGTCCCGGGGAGCGGCCCCCGCCGCCCCTATGAGGGCCCGACCCGCGCCCCGCCCGCCCCGTGCAGCCGCAATCGCGGTCCCCCCGGCAAACGCCGCGCGCTCCGCGGGGTCCGCCCGCCCGCCCGCGCACGGCCAGTGCCGCGCCCGCCCAGCGCCGCGGGCCGGCCGCGGCAGAGGGCTGCGCTGGCAGCTACAGGCCCGCGCCGAGGCGGAAACGGGGCGCCGCTGCTCCGCCCGCGCCCCACGCGGGGCGTGCGGACCGCGGCGCGACAAGCGGCCGGGCGGGCGGGCCGGCCTCCAAACACGGCAGCGGCGCGATGCCTGTGCCGGCAACCTTCGGCTTTGCTCCTTCCAGCCCCGCGGGCAACTGTAAGGGGGGCGGAGGCGGAGCACAGGCTGCCCGACCCTGCGCCGGGATGCGCGGAGCACACGCTCAACAGCCCGCGGGCCCCGGGGAGGTGGGGAAGCGCACCCCTGCCCCGCTGAGCGCCCGCCGCGGCCCGCCTGACAGACGAGCCGCCTGGCGCGCGGGCCGCGGACCCTCCGCGCGGAAGGGCGGGGGCGCCGCGGCAAGGACCTGACGAGGCCATTATCACAGGGAGGGGGGTGGGGTGGGGTGTGGCGGTCGTGCGCCGCCAACAGCAAAGCTACGGGACGGGCCGGTTTTCCCCCTGTCCCCGCCCGCAGTGGGCCGTGCCGCGTTTTGGCGGGCTCTGTCAGTCCCCTCACGGCGTCTCCCTTTCCCCAGCCATGCCCGCCTCCGAGGCCGTGCCGCCCGCAGTGGGCCGTGCCGCGTTTTGGCGGGCTCTGTCAGTCCCCTCACGGCGTCTCCCTTTCCCCAGCCATGCCCGCCTCCGAGGCCGTGCCGCAGCCGTCCCCCAGCAAGAGGCAGAAGGGCTCGGGTCCCGGCGAGCACAGCACACGGCTCCGCTTCACCAAGCTGTCCGAGAACGCCGTGGCGATGCCGCCCCACTCGGCGAGCCCTCGGGCGCGGGGCTCCGCGGCTGAGGGCGCTGTCGTGACCTCTTGCTGAGGGGCTCGCGGGCCTGGGGGAGAGGAGGTCGGAGGTCAGAGCTGCCCTGGTAGTTATCTCCCTTGCTCCTCCATCCTTGGCCCTTCATCCCGAGGTATCTGTGGTCCAGCCGTGCTGCATCACTGATTTCCTTAGAGGGCGATGCAGTCGTTGGCCAAAAGCCAGGCTTGACACATCATCCGGAATTGCTGTTGGTGCCAGCATTGGTCGGGTGCCTCACTAGTGAAACAAAAAGAATTGGTAGTGCACGTGGGCCCTCCTTGCCAGCGCTTGTGCTTTTCTGCTTTCCTCTTGGCTGCTGGGTGCGGCAAAGGAGGTTGTGGCAGTCTGATAATGATCTTAGCTGGAAACCCATGTGGGTTAATGTACAGACTTAGGTTTGGGTGAATTTATAACCATTGTTCAAAGGTTTTCGCTATGTTCAGGAATAGTTGCAGCTTGTGGTTGTTTACACAGTGCTTCTGGGATCCAGTACAGTCACGAGTTACATCTGAACTTCACTGTGTCCTCTTCTACCTTTTTTAATATTACTTAAAATAATCAGCCTGAGTTTTTCTTCCTTCACCTCTCTGACTTCCTTCCTGAAGATTTGCCTCAGCACCCTTTTTCTTTGTATTCCTTTTGTCCTACCGTGGTGCACTGTAGACCTGGAAAAAGTCTTGTTTTTTAAAAAACCTTTCAGTGCTTCCAGTGTTTAAAAATCAGTTCCTTGTCAAGGTCAAGATATAAGAAGTGTTGTCACCACTGCCTTTCATTAAGCCTCCAGTTGGGTATTTTCAGCAAGTTCTTAAAATCTCTGTAGTTCCAAGGAGAATCTTGTGACTCGTTAACTGTCAGTTTGCTCAGGAACATTGTTGCCTAGAATTTAACTTAATAAATAATTAATTTTAATTACAGTTAGTTCATCTGCAGTAGAAAGCTTCATCAGAGAGTGTGTTATCCCATAAGTTTGCTTTTGCACAAAAAAATGCACAACCATGTTCACCCAATGGTTACTTTAAAGTTAAACTTGTACTTTCTGTCTGTCTTACCAGGTAAAAAACATTTTAAATTGTCAGTTGTAAGACTGTGCTGTTCAAGTGACACTTCCAAAATCTTAAACTAGCACTATCAAAATTAGAGCATCTTGTATCTTAGGATCTGCGTTAGATTTTGCAAATCTGTAAATATTTTTCTGTAAGTTCCATTTTATAAATTCCCAACCAGAATAATTCTGGTAATTTTTTACCTTAACAGAGAAGAAAATTTAAAAAATATTCTCTATAAACTAGTGTTTCTTTCTTTTCTGTAGTGCCTATGACTGTGTGATACCACCCATGGAAAAGGCAGTAGTGAAAACAGACATTCAAATAGCACTTCCTTCTGGGTGCTATGGCCGAGTAGGTAAGTAAAGAAGCTATAAAAAGGCTGCAGAGTCATTCTAGAACAGGTTTGACACCATCTTCAGCTTTCAGAATTAGTCTACACAAAAAAGATGCCACGTGGCTGTGTGATTTATTAAGCCTTGTAGCAGACATTTCTTGTCAAATACATTTGAAGTTTGGTGTCAAGTGACAAAAAGATGGTTAGCAAAAATGGTCATAATCTACATACAACTTCAGAGGCTCTGCAATAGCTCATTATTTCTTTGTGGTTTCAGAATTTGAATTTGAATTAAACAAAGACCAATACGTAATGAACATACAACAAATACATCCCAGGATGCTTAAAAACTAACCCCAAAGTAAGAATACTAGTGAAGTAGAATTTGACTACTTTTTGTGACAGAATACTTGGGAACACTTTAAGAGATATTCTGTTTATTTTGTGCATTCGTTTTATGAATTATCTATGAATTCATAAAGTAAAAAAGCAATAGCCACTCCAGTGGAAGAGCATGATCAGTTTGCCATGTCCTTTGATTTGAAAGGAATATATGTGTGCATTTCTCTTATCCCAAAGAAAATTTTGAAGAGTGTCATCAAAGTAGTCTAAGGGAAGTAAAACCCCAAACCCCTGCACATAATTTATCTGTTTAAAATACTGCTTAGTAAATTGCTTGCCAAATGTTGTTTTCCATCATAACTTAAATGGATTGGCCTCATAGCCTTTTGAGATTATGCCAAACCAAAAATAAACCAGGATTGGATAGTCTTTGTCTGTTCCTGTTGCCTTCCTTGGAGAAACCTACTCTGCAATTGTTGGTCTAAACCTATAAATATTGTCTTTTAAAAGAAATAAATTATTACACTCACAAAAAAATTCTTCTTTTCTAGCACCACGTTCTGGTTTAGCTGCAAAGCACTTCATAGATGTTGGTGGTAAGACTTCTGTTATTTTTATTAAGACTTTGTAAATACGGATCACAGAAGTTCCTTAATTTCCCATTGTAATGTGTGTAAATAAATAATGGGTAGTCTGGCAAAAGCAGATGACTGGGTAACACCTCAGAGAGCCAGTGCATCATCATTATTTTTAAACCTGCTGAATTATAAAGTTCAGAGAGAAAAACTCCAAAGAAGCAGAATATAATTATATTAATGTGCATTGGTAGATAATCTTCTGAACTATGTAGTTAATACAGTTATACAAAATATAAGAGCATGCCAGTTTTCAGTCTTGATACTTAAATACAGCAGAATGACAATCAGTTTCTTAAAGCTCCAGTTCTGTTACCCTGCCAGAGGTACAAGATTTGGATCTGTGCAAATCCATAGCTCTCAGAGGAAATGTTAAAGTTAACAACAGATTTCTGCTTGACACCCAAAGAGCTGAAGTTAGCAGAACAAATGGAGCCTGAAGTTGGTCCAGCTGTCTTGATTTCAGATGGGGTATTACAACTAAAATTAGTAGTACAGTGGTAAAACACTTCCTGACGTGTGATGGTGTTTTTCAGTTCTTTTTGCAAGACTGATTAGCATTTTTAGAGTCTTGGTATTTGCATATATATTGTTTGATTGTGCATGAGTAGTATAAAGGATGTCAGTACGAGATGCTGTGGTGATTTATAAATCTAAACATTATCTAATCTAGTGATCTAATATACTGACATTTATTAACTGGATATCCCTCTAAATTCTTTCTCCTGACAGCTGGGGTTATTGATGAGGATTACAGGGGAAATGTTGGTGTAGTACTCTTCAACTTTGGCAAGGAGACTTTTGAAGGTAATTGCTGAGCTTGGCAGAGCCTGTTTTCAGCCATCTGACTGGGAATGAGAAACTTAACTTTTTCTTTAAAAGTTTATGCAGAGTTAGAATGAGCTAAGAACATTTTTCTTCTTTCAATTAACAAAAACATGGATACTTAATAATGTCATGTCAAGGGAATACATAAAGATTCCACTCATAGCAAATTAAGCAGCATGCAAAAAAACCTACCCCCCAAAACACCCCCCCACCACAAAACCAAACCAAAGAAAACCCTACTTAGCTAAGCTTTAGAGTCACAATCTGTACTGAAGTGCAGACTGTATTAAGCTTCATCAGTTTTAAGCCTCAGTGTCCAGTTAAAATATTGCCAGTGCAGCCTCTTCTGCATCTTCACAGCACAGGCTTCTTAGGGAAGCTCAGTGAACCAGCTTGGGTACTAGTGAGAAATCCTGTTTTCCTTTTATCAGTTCAGTTTTTTTCCCCCAGATTCCTGGGCCTAGTTCACAAAAGGGACCACATTATACATACAGCTGTCTCTCCATCTCTGCACTGCTTATGCTTAAATGACACTTAAGATGCCAGAGGATGGCAGCAGGAATGAATGGAAGTGCCTTGAGCTGATCCAGCTGCTGATACTTCACCTTAAAAGGGCTAAGCACAAGTTTATCTTTACCTGGACTTTTCTGGGGCTGTCAACATCTGCTTAACTAAGTTTCAAATAAGTGCTTTCACTCTTATTATGTTCTGATACTCTTGAAAGGTGATTGTCTAAACTCTGGATTGATTATTCACTGTTTTTGAAGGAACTAATAATATTTTAACTTCATTGCAGTTAAAAAAGGGGACAGAATTGCCCAGCTCATCTGTGAACGCATTTATTATCCTGAGCTAGAAGAAGTTGAAGTAAGTTGCCTAAAGAAAATATTTCTTGTATTTTCCATGATTAATAGTTTAAGATATTTGTACATAAGATGAAATTTATGATATAGATAAATACTTTGCTAAAATTACTTTCAGTGTTAAAACTGCATAGCAGCAGTGCTACCTAGATGAAAGTCTTGGTTCTTTGCTCACCCCCAGGTGGATTTTTTTTTGGTGTGTAGTTTTCAGAGTTAACAGGTACTTGAGAAATACTTCAGTCTGTACTAGAAATAGTTGTCTCACAATGTGTTGTTTAAACTTGTGCAAAAAGTATTCCAAAGTGTCTCATAAAAATGTTTTGGTTTCTCAGTTACAGCTCTTGTTAAATGTAAATGTACCTTTCTCCATGGTAGAGAATATCTGTTGTATAGAAACAAAAAGCAGGTAAAGGCACTAAACGAGCTTATCCTAATTGATGTCTTTCAGGCTCTGGATGATACAGAACGTGGTGAAGGTGGCTTTGGTTCTACTGGGAAGAACTGAAAATTACTTGAATATGCTTTATTTTTTTTTTCGTTACACTGTTTCTAAATTTTCATTTGAATTAGAAGTGGGATTTTAGGACTGCATAAGAACATTTCCAGTTTTATTCCAGCTTCTCTGTATCCTCCTGTCTATTTTTACAGGCAGTGAATTTGCATAATGGGGAAATGTGCACTACTGGCTTGGCTGATCAGTTGATGTTTGGTCCTCAGCAATAAGACTGTGTTGTTTATGTGTTGATTATACTCTAATAAATTAAAAAATAACTTCACAATTTGATTTTACTCACCTAAACTAAAAGGACCAATTTGCATTAATCTTCTGAAATCCATCCTCCCCGTGGCCCAGGTTTTCATACTGAGAACCCATTTCATACATTTCGATATGACTTCCCACTCTGACCCCTGAAAAAGGCAAAGATACTAATATTGCATCTTCTACAACCTGTCCAAATACTTGTGTTTCTGTTCAAAGCTAAAATTCTGACTTTGATCCTTAGCTGATCTTCAAGTAGCCAATTTTTCCACTCTCTTATATTAAGAGCAAACAATACAACGTTTGAGCTAAATAACAACTCGTCTGGAAATAACTTCTGTATAGTAAGTGCTATGAAATATGCTGTTGAAATATTTGTTGACAAATCTATTAGTATGTTACTGTATGACTTACTGAAGCAGTGCACAAATTGTTCTTTTCAGTTCGATTTTGTCCATTTAACAGAGGACTCTTTGGAACCTGTCCTGAACCTGATTCCATAAGTGTGGGAATCTCTGAAATGCCTCAAAACCTTTTAGGTGAAAGAACATGCCCAGGAGAGCAGAAACAAAAAAGGAAAAAATAATGACTATTTTTCCAGTTTACATAAGAATTAGAAAAAGGCTGTAAGGCTCTCAAACATTTTTTTCCTGCAACTGTCAGTGTTCTTTTTAGATTTTCTTGGCTGAAAGGTCACAGGTACGAAATACTGTGCTTTAAGTAGTGCTTCAGCAGTGGAGAGGTGGGCCTTTTGTAGATTTAAGATGTTCATTCCTCTTGGTAGTCTCAGATTAGAATAATCCTACTGGTATTAGTTTTATGTCCTTGCCTAGAACTAACTATTTTCAGTGAAATAAGCCCAAAATATTTTACATTTTGTGTATTTTATCCCAGCCTCCCCCACAGTGAGCTGCAAAATAAAGTGTAGTATGAGAGCATTCATATTCCTTTGGCCATGGGATAGTTATTGACTTGGCAGTGCTGAAACAGTAAGTACATCCATCTTTGCCTGGGGTAAAGTCTTTCCCTCCCATGTGCATGATAAGCTTATTGTCTTTGTTGTTGTTGTTCCCTACCCCTCATCACAACACTGTCCTTGCATTTGTATACCCAGACCTTCCTGAGCAGGCTCACCAGGCCAAAGCAAGGAGCACATCACACCAGTGCACCTTCAAATGAATTGGAAAAGCTGAGCTTGACACTAAGTTTCTTGCATTCTGTAACCTGCCAAAAAGGAACTTCAATTACCAAAGGCTATTTGTAGATCTTAGAATAACTATCATTCCTTATGTAAAGCTGTTTCCTCCTGTAAGTCAAAGAGCAAGTTTTGCTGCTCTTTTTTATTCCCACCTCCCAAAGTAAAAAACCAGCGGGGGATACACTGAGGCAAGTCCTTTTTGGAAGATTCTACAAGATAATCTTGCTTGGAACAGCAGCCTATGAGGAAGAAGTTGAAGTTCTGTTGATACTCATTATTTGTTGTGTCAGAAACCGACCTAGTTTCCATTTTTGAAAATAATACTAATACTCCAGAATCTGAGATAAGAAGGAATACTCATTGGTAGAAAAAGCAGCTCTTGAGATAGTAGCTCAGAAACATGACAAAGAAATATATCCATGCCTGCTGTAAGTTGTCAACATAAAAACCAATATCTAAGTGTTATTACCAAAAATGCTCGCTTATTTTGAAAATTGGTATAGTGGAGTTCCTTTCCACTGTTTCTCAATACTTATCTAGAGAAGCATATAATGAGTTTTAGATTCCTGCAGGGCCCCCAGTAGGACTTTGGAAAGTGTCTCTCAAATAAGAAATGGTTTCAAGCTCCCCTCTATACTGACTCCTCCCTGTGCACCAAACCATTGCACCAGGGTAACAAATCTGATAATTCCTGTTTGAGTGTTGGGAGATTTGTGTTCTCACCAGGCAACAGGAGTTACCAATGCAGTAAAAGTTCTTAAGTTGCTACTGCAGACCAGGGCCTTCACTGACACCTGTAGAAACTTTGTCCTGGTAGTGAGGAGAGAATTCTTACAACAGCATTTGCTGTGTTCTGGTTCAAACCAAGCTCTACATCTCTTCACCCTTTTTTTATTTAATGTCCCACAATTTCATTAGTATGAAAAGCAATATCCTCCAAATTATTTATTTTAATGTTCCCTTTTTCCTGTATTATCTTGGTATCTGGCAAACATACACAGGAGGCACAGAACAGTACCTGTCACAGAAGGTAGTTTTTAACTTACCCTTGCTCTTGCTTATAAAACTCACCCTCTCACGTGAGCAAGGGGAAGAAGGCAGACTCACTCCTCAGCAAGGTTTACACATCCCTCTTTATAATGGTAATTTTTAGCACATTTGTTCCTCTTTTAAACAAAAATCAGAATGTTTAAAAATTTTTATATTAGCAAAAGAGAGGGAGGACTGGGAAACACAATCTTGTTCATTACTTTATCTGAGACCTATCATACCTACATTACCTAGTTGTAAATTAGTTTTGTAATTCAGTGAAAAAATGCCTTAGTGCATCATTGAGTGAACATGCTTCAGCCTTAGCAAGGAACCTCAGGAGAAACTGGACACTGGAATGCACAGGGCTTACTTCTGTGTACACAGATTCATGTCTCCAAACCCTGCCACTGAGGTGTCATCCCCAGGGCTCACTGTAGGTAAGAAACAGAAGAGATGTAAAGCTATTAAAGCTATTTGCAAAAAAAAACCCTAAATGAAAATTACATTAAATAAAAGTTATGTTGGGATGTTCTCCATTATCACTGAACAGAGTCAGACAAAGCTATTTAAGTTTAGACTGTCAACTATTCTTGACTCCAAGAGGAATTACTTAAAACTTGAGGAATGATCTTGTGGGACATCCGCTGTGTAAATGAAACATGGAGATTTTGTAAATGAAATTAATTTGTAGGGAATTCTTGTGTGCAGCAGAAAATGGCATTCTCCTGCAGGGAAAGGAAAAGGACATTACTAACTAACAGTCTGCTTCCTTTCTTTTAGAAATGTAACAATGACTTGTTGCACAGGTAGAGAAAAATCTGGCCTCCCACCCAGGTGCAAGGAAAGTTCTGATGCTTGGCCCCAGATTCACTCCATGGTTTGGGTTCTATTTTGGGATCTGAAAGGGTTCTATTTTTTGATTTGGACTGAGATACTTATGGTAATCTCTATGTCCTTAGAAAGGCAGAAGCTCATAAGCTGATGAGAGTTTTGAAGGAACATGTGATCCCTATACAATTCCTACTGCTTGAACTCTCCACTTGTGGACAACAATCTTAAAAGAAAAATTATGGCAATGATGCTGCTGATCTTTAGTCCCTTTCTTTCCCCCAGAGTATTAACCTGGTCTTTAGTGGCATTTAAGCACTGTTTCTTCAGTTCAGCAACAGTTGTATTACTCTGTGGCATGTTAGGAATTTTTTTTGATCCATTTCGTGTTTTTTAGATCAGCCACTAGATGGCACTTAAAGTTTGCTTTCTTTTCCACTTTTTTTCTAGAGGTATTTTTCAAAGATCTGTTCATCTATAATTAAGGGTTGATGACTCCCATTGGGACTGTGTTGGCGGAAAGCAAGATGCAGCAATATTTGAGTGAAAGCAGGCAAAAGTATAACCATTAAAGCGGGAACAATGACTATAATTTAAATAAGATTTGGGTGGTTGCAGTGTTTGCATAATCCCTCCTGGCATGCAAGAGCAGTAGAGAAGCCTGTGGCTTTGCTCTCCTGCTGCGTTTCAACAAAAATGGAAAATTGTAATGAACAGCAACATTTTTCCTATCTTTCATACTCACTCTCTTCTTACTCTTTCTTCCTCCATTCCTTTAAGTGGATTGCAGTCTACTTAAGGATTGCATTCTAATGAAATTAATGTATAGCTTGGTAAACTCTGCACTGGATTTTCCAAATCAGATGCCTCTGGCTGCAAGTTCAGGATATAAATTCAAACTTTCTTAGTATGTGTTAACCCAGTAAGGGCAGGTGACACATAGTATCCTGAATTATGTAAATTTTTACTAAGGTTACCGAGTTCTGTATTGGTTGCTACTCCTGTAATAACATAGTCTGGAGCTCTTGTATTTGTCTTCCCCCTCTTCTAATTTTTTTTTTTTTAATAACTAACATTGTATTTTGGCTTAAAGATGGTTAAATAAGTTTTGGTAAGTAAACTTCTATGACCCTGCCTATTTCCTGTCCTGTCAAACCTTTCCTTGTAAGAATAACAGTGTCCTTTTATTTGGTGGAGTGTAGCATGATGTTTTTGGCAGGCTCAACATTTTTGACTTGCATAAATTTGTGACCTCAAGTGCAAGAAAAGTGAATGCTTGCTTCAATGCCTCATGGTTTCTGCCTAAAAAGAAAAGTGTCCACATCGCTAACCATTACAATTTCTGAAGGAAAATTATCAGCACACTTATTCCACCTGATTGCACATGACTGCACTTCCAAAGAAAAGAACCAGAAATAAAAATAAGTATTTTGCACCTAGTTATGTAAGGTACCAAAAAGCCTGAAAATATAGGGCAGAGTGTACTGCCTTCCTGGTTTCTAGAATTGGCACACGTGGCGCTTCCCTCACTAACAGCTATTTGGCAATCTCTGCCTCAGTAAGGATGTGATTCTGAAAAGTGTAAATTTGGGGCTGCTGCTGGGCAGAGAATGTCACTGCATGGTTAAAGGTTGCAGGATCAGGTCTGAAGTGAATTTACGTAATTATTTTCCTACACTTTCCCTCCATTAACTGTGGTTATTTAGCTCTTTACCACTGAAGTGATGCTTTTCCCCTACTCAGAACGCAGCAAGAAAGCCTTTTACCCTGCCAAGTCTGAAAAACTGACAGATTAATTTTATATTGAGAGCCGTCATCCAGAAAGTAACTACTGTATTTGAATATGTAAAGTATGTTTAAGCAAACATATGTGAGCTGTATATGCCTACTTACTTGTTTCCCCTTAGATTTGGATGGGGTTTATGTCACAAAAATTTTATATTAATATTTGGCTTTGT